TTGTCACTCATGAATGACTCAAGACGTTGCATGGCACCTCCAGCTTGGGATTCGAACAGTTCGACCGCAAACTGGATTTCTTCCTCAAGAGGCCGATGCCACCGGATCGTTAAGTCCGCTGGTGATGTTGTCTTGCCCCAATCAGCGACGTCTAGGCCACGCTCTATGACATCAGGCTCGTAAAGCGAAGTATCTATGGGATATGTGTGCGTGAGGTTGAGTAGTAAATGGTGTATATAATTGCTGATGTGAATGGTGGGGAGGCCTCTGCACTTTTCTTGCATATACTCTGCAATCTCGAAAAGATCTTTTTTATACTTGAGCACCTCGCTACCCACATGAACAACACACATGCTCAAGATACTCACGTGCCACACGAGAGCCCTATCCCGAGGAAGGACTTCGGTACCGCTACTCCGATCGGATGCAGCGCCGTTGTAGTCGATTTCATTGCGTATATTAACAATCAACATAGGAATGAATACCTTAAGTGTCTTCTCGGGGTTCACTTTGCAAAGCGCGTTGCAGATCCAGGCCATAGCATCGCGAGCTTGGTGGACTACATGGCTTGAGACAAAGGTAGAAAGCTTCTCTAAAGCCATATCAAAGAGCTCAGGTGATAGAGAAGCAAACATTGGGGTCAAGGCAGCCGGTAGGGTGTTGATAATATTATCTTCAGGAGATCCAGAGCGAACCTGCGCCGAGTCTGGTAAATTCTCCAATAACGTAAAGACTTTCCCTAGGAGCGTCAAGATGAATTCACCGAAACCTGCAGTTGAGGAGCGCACAATGTCCGCTTCGTCTTCGTCAGTCAACTCGTTCTTATAGTCGATCTTGACATCTTGGCCCTCGCGCTCCATCCGCTCCATTTCCCCTTGGACCCATTGCATGGCAAGGCTAGTATCATGAACCTGGTTATTCTCTTTTGCCAAAGTCACGAACGGGATACTGTACGAAACACTTTGTATGAAGTTCAGGGTATACTGTGTCTTGTTAAGATCATTGGCATCAATGCCAGGTAGAGCTAATGCTAATAGAGCAGTAATGTGGCATCTGAAGCCTTTCTGACTCGACATGATATTGGCAATCATGTTTAGGCCACAGAGACTAGAGGTAGTCCGGTGAACTTCAACCAGACCCTGCAAACTAGGATAGAACCTCTGGAGCGCGCCGGGCAGCATCAGATCAGGTTCTAGGTAGGTAAGATTTTGTAGAGCGTTGAAGTACAAGCTAGTGATAGCTGAACTTTTACCAAAGAGTCCCATAAAAGTGACTTCTCGCAAACTCAAGACGAACCGGTGCTTCAGAGCATCATTAATCTTTCGATCAGCGGGGGTATCCTGCTCTTCACTCTGCTCCCTGTTCCAACGAGATACAAACAACTCGCTGAGGTAATAGGTGAGCTGAGCCAGCATCTTAGACCAAGAGCCGTGATTCGACGGATGGAAGAAAGTATCAATCGACTCCATGAAACCTTCGAGGCTATTCAATATCGAATTATCCTTGCCAAGACAATGGGGCGATAAGGAGGATATAACCCAGCGGGCGACAATGTAGGGTATTGGATGTTTCTTCTTGTCTTTCTCGAGGAAGATGCCCATTCCAACCGAGTAGTCAAGTGAACTGTATGGTGAATTCGCTTGTCCAACAGGAATCTCAGTCAAACGAAGAATAGCAGTAAATATTAGATCAGACTGCTCCCGTGTGAAGACACCATGCTCGCCGAAGGGTACATGCCGACATGTCAGATAATCCCTAGCAACTCTAGAGAATATATCGATAAAGGCATTGTCTACCACCTTGGAGCGGGTCATAAGCGACCAAAGATGGAAGAAAGTAGGTATGAAATCGGATGGCTGAGATTGTAGCTCGGTAGGAGGAGCCGGTGTCGTGGGCATTAGAATATTCAAGAGACCAATAACAATGTAGGCATTTTGTATGTCCGAAGTACTGAAATAGGGCAGTACCTCCTCCAGGATAGCGCGCCGCTCTTTGGGGTCGAAGTATAACTGCGAATAGAGGCACAGTTTCCGGAGGTGCTTACCACCCCGCCTTCTAGAAGAATGATGCGCAGCAGCCTCACCGGGCAATACTAACGCCTTCAACTCTGTCCAAAGGGGTCTCCAGTCGAGGATGAGGTCTTGTTCAGGTTTAAGAGCTTGCTTCCTCCTGATCAACGTTACAACCATCTTTGAGAACCGATCGGCCGAATTATTATCTAGGCCGGGCGCAAGCGACAGATGGAAGTACAACTGTACGAGCTTGGCGCGTAACTCCCGAGGCATATCGAACTTGAGCCCTAGCCATCCCTGAAGCTGCCGCGTCCAGTGAAGAGCACCAGGGGAGAAATCCTCAGCCTTGACGGCTATATAGAGCTGTTTCAATATTCCCTGCAAGGCGGCATCGCGGGCGGCATCGTCTTCGACCGGGTAGGGTAGTAGTTGGAAGTATGCAAAGGTGCGCGGTCGATAACGCTTGGTATCATCGGTATCGGGTAAGTTAGAGGGTGGCAAGCCGGGCGAAGTTGCGCGAGAGATAGTATCACCTACAGCATAAGTATTGAGGAACTGCGATGCAGCAGAAAATGCAGCAGCTGCAGCCGCAGGATCGAGCGCTTCATCCATGGCGGGGGAGGGGAGGGGAATACTGTATATCGTATTATATCGTATCTGAAGCTCCGCTTATAAATTTGTGATATCGAATCGAACTATTGTTGGATTAAAGATATGTAACACAACCTTTGTTTTATTTAGTCAGTCTCGAGTGAGAGTTTCTATCCCTCGTTTTTTCCCTTTCTTTACACCCTGGTAATGAAGATGATAGTTGACAGAATTCCTTTGTGGAAATCGATGGTGGCGTTGATCTCGTGCTGCAGCCAAACTAGGACGCACGCTGACATGTCGCAGCTCCCGGAGCTTGCGTAGCTAGCTTCTCTGGAGTTTAGAAAGCTCTAAAGGGTGAATGATCTGCCCAATGCACCGCACCAAACCTTTAGGTAGAATAAATTGGGGTCCTTTAATGGCTTTTCCACTTTCCCCTCCGAGCCTCGTTACCAGCACGGGATCGCACCAGGTGAAAGACTTGAAAATTTATAAATTATCGTACGGGTAGTAAGAAGAAACTGACACCGTTGATAACGATGTTGGGGAGGATAGTAAGTAGTAGTAGTAGTAGTTTGGAGGTTGGACAAGTCAGAAAGAGAAGGGGAAGATGTACGGATGGGAGATCCGTAGTGGTTTAACCTAAGATGTTATGTAAATCGACGCTGGTTCGACGCTGGTTGATAACTAGTCGATGTCGAAGTGGGGAATTTAGTAGGAAAGTTAATTCTGAATTTAGGCCAATTGCTGCTGCTGCGCCAGCTTTTTGTTCTTGCAGTCTTGCCAGTAGGCAGTAGGCACACAGAGTAAAGAGCTAGAGGCAGAAGGACGAATACGTAATTAGGCAATTGCGACGATTAGTTACTCACGCACTCACACACTCACGGACTTGCGGCGCATGACAAGTCTCTATAGCAGCCTAAGGTGGTACCTGTGAATTGATTATCAATTCATCCCAATTCAATAAGCTCTTTATAGTGACTGTAACTGAAAGCAATTAATATAATAATTACGAGCGCATATCTTTAATATTGCTTTCTAATATTGAATACTAATATTTATATTTCTTTTCCTTTCCTTTTCCCTCTTTCCCCCCCCTTTTCCCCTTCTCTTTATTGTTCAATACAATCACATTATTGAGCCCAATCTAGTGCAAATACCAGATTGTAAGCCTTATTAACAACAGAATAATGCTCAGTAACACCACCATACAACAGTTCAACTACTACTCGCCACAAGTATAACAAATCACGAATGTATAATTGAACGAAGAAGAAAAAAAAAAAAAAAAGGTGCATTACATGCATCCCTATATGGAAACTTACAGCAATGCAATCATACGAATACATTTATACTATCACATATCATTTAATGGCTTCACTTCACAAGTACTAACAAGCTGTTGTTGGTTTATAAAGGAGCCACATTCATAGGCTCAGCTAGTTCATCACCCAGGCGTTAGTATGTATGTTAGCATGTATCATAGGCTTCTGTACGACGTCATGCACCTAATCACAGCGGATAATCCGGTCAAGTCTTTGGATCGCTCCCGATTTGATAGATTGAATTCCCGTAAATCGGTCGGGTCGAATTGCCTAACAATCACAAACTCGCCACATTTCTTGGGAGTAGCTTCAATAAAATAAAATTAAGCAGCCATTTATATCTCTTGCTTTTCTATCTCTTCAAACTAATAGGAAGAGAATATATTAACCCTCCCGCCCGGTTACTTACATCCTTCTGACTTATCCGATTTACACAACTTACGGCACAGAGGATAAGTACATTGCTTTTTCGTATAAGCTCTTGCTGACAGCAGGTCGACACAGTCACATGATATCTCCTTTCTTTCAGCTCATAGGTTAATATTCATAGGGGTCCTATCACTAATCGTATCCCCCTTGCCGATGCTTCTGGCTTCTGTTTCACAATTACGATATTGTAGCTCTGCAGCCTAATATCGGCTTACACAAGGTAAGTTGTCCTAGGCTAGAAGCAAGCAAATGGCCCGACGCATGGCCGTGACGTGATACCAGCGGGATTTCGAAAGACGATGATTCGGGGGTGCGTCGGCGTGGCGGCATACGTATATATATAATTGCCTACAGGAAGAAAAAAGAAACGAGACCAGAATTTATGTGACGTAACAGAATATTTAAGCTACTAAGAGCTGATAGAAAACCCATCAGATCTTATCTGTCTCCATATGTATGTACACAGTTTGTATTGAAAGAGTTCTGGATTGGAGAAAGAGACATGTCTAAATATATTTCAACTTATTCAGGAACTAAACATACTCATATATCAGTGGCCTATTCGAGCCTATAGTATCCAATCATTCTTAACCACCTCATAACCTCCTAAGCTAACTAGGTACTAAGGTAGTTAACTATTAGATATTTACTCCTTCTTCTTATCTATCGCCGGTAGACCGAGCCATAGAAGGAAGATGGCACCGAGAAAGGCGAGGATAATAGGCTGCAACACCTCTACACCCTTTGCCTGTGCAATCGCTCCAACTGCAAACGGTAGGATAGCCGCGCCACTGCCACCGAACGCCGCGGCGAATCCAATAGCACCGACGTGTAGATGTCGAGGAAGCAACTTGGATACGGCGACGATCGCAGCAGGGAACAGAGGCCCAATGAAAAATCCCTGAAGTCCTACAGCGACGGCTGAAACATAGAACTGGGGGACGAGCCAGAAAATGAGTTCGAGGCCCATCGTTATAGGGAGGTATATCATGATCGCGCGCTTCTCTCCTATTCTCGGTGTTATGAACCCTAAGATCACACGCCCGATCGTCAAGCCGAGCCAGAACCCGGTGGCCGTCATACCACTAGCGAAGGGTTCGCCGTTTCTTACTTGAATCATAAACTCGACGATCCAACCTCCCAGGGAGACCTCGAGACCGACATAACCAAGTAGGAACAGGGAGCAAAGCCAAGTGACACGAGCTGCAGGCTGCTTGAACAGAGCTTCCTTAAGACTACCTTGAGACGATTCAGAATGCTTCGTTAGAGATTCCCTGTACTCGCGTCCTGTTGCCTTCCAGAAACAGCTGACCGAAGCAGCTACCTCAAGCCCAGCTATTCCGATCTAATCTAGTCAGCTCTATATCTTTTCCCTTCGGCATCGACTAACTCACCATAAGGTAGTAGAAAGTATACCAGGGCAAGTTACCCTTGGTAATCATAGTCGTGGCAATTAGCGGACTAAGAACAGCACCGACCCCGTAGAGGCCGTGCAGAATACCAAGCATCTCATTCGCGCGAGCCATGTTACCGATCCACGCATTCCAAGCGGCATCCGCAATGCCGTTTCCGAAGCCCGCAATAATAAACGTAATCACCAAGACTGGGTAAGGTGGATGGACAGCAATGATTATGTAGGCCAGCAGATGGCACCCCGAGGAGATGAAGGCAACGCCCCTTTGACCTACCCTAAGGTGGATGATATTGTTCAGGAAGGCTGCTGCTGTGTATCCTACGAAAGGTGACAGAAAAATAAGCGATACAATCAGATACGTAAGATCATAGTGTGCTTGAATCTACACTCCGTGTCAGCCATGCGTTTTATCTAGATCGTAGCTCCGTCTAATCTAAAGAGCTGCCTTACATATGGAATGAGAGGCTATCCAGTCCGTTCTTGTCAGCAAGCCTGTTTATATCTAGTATGGATTCTCGTATGATAACTCACACCGTAAGCAGCGTCATTAGCGCCCATAACGACAAACGACCAAAAGCACGAAGCAACCCGTGGGATATTCTTCCGAGGGTAATTCCATCTCTGCACAACGTCTGTAGTCGTGCTCGGAGGTGGTAGCGAGCTCGTATCCTGCCTTGGAGTAGTATTGCCGTCATTGCTATTCGCCTGTTGGCTCGGTCCACGGGCTAGGACATTGGTATCATCTTGCTTCGGTAAAGGAGTTGACATATAGACTGGTTCTAGCTCTACCTCGAGGACTGAGGTCGAAGAGCTTCCATTTTGCACATGTGTTGCCATGACGGCAAGATAGCTTGCTCGTTTCCTTTGTCTTCAAATACTAAGTAGAGATACCTCGATCTTTCGACTTCTCAAAACAGACGGAACAAAAGTATAGAATCTTGACCTAGAAAGTGAATAATACCACGTCGTCCTTGTCACTTACTTATGTACGTGCCAACGGAGAAGCTTCGGTCAACGACCCGGTCTCCAGCGGACTAAGACCCATAAGCAAACAGACGGCGCGCGGTAGGTCCGCCACTTTCTTTCTTGGCCATGGGGCAGAAACCAGGTCGGGGACCCCAGAACCGAGTCGGTAGAACATCGGATACTCCATAATTTTCATTGGGTGGTTGGTGATTACGAGGTTCCGTTCGTGGGATGGATAGGTCCTGAAAAAGGAATCTCCGCCCGCAGCTCAACTCCGACATCGACGTAAACGAGACCGGCATCGGTTACCATCGCATCTGCTTCTCGGGCCGTATATCCTCGTCTCAATTCATCGTCGCTCGCCGACTTGACTCACCGGTCAATGATGTCGGAGCGGGGGTTGATGACGCTCAGCGGTCTTCGCACGCGGTCGCGATCACAACTCAGATTCGCAGATGAATATGTTAGATAATACATCTCTTTTTGGATGCGGTAGAAGAACCCTAATGTATTAAAATTAAATATTACTAGGACATCTTTAATTCCTTAACATATAAGTACAGTGCTCCCTTTAAGTCTATAGAGTTCATCTAAGTTGGAAGAGCTCCGTGTCCTATTGTCTTTTATAATGGACAAGTAATTTTCCACCACGGCAAGGGTTTCAATCCAAAATAGTACCGTCAAATTTTGACTAAATAATCAGGTGTGTACTTTTGCGGTGAGCAACCAACAGTATACTGAATATATTAACCTGGTTAATAAGTCTTATATATTATACATAGGCTCAAGATATCTAAGCATTGAAGTATCACTAGCGACTCGCCGAGGCGATACTAACGGTGCAAAGATAACCAGCTATATCGACCTAATGATCCTTTGCCATAAGCTTATACCATCCTTCCCCCCCCTCAGCCCTACTTGACCAACCCCGAGAACACACGGTAGTAGTGGGCACCACTAGTTATGTTACTAAAAATATGTGTGCTTGTAACCCTCAAGGCATGACATGCTGGTTGCCGGCAGAGACACGTTCTATAGTAGGTATAGTGGATACATCATACGCTCCCTGATCCTTGGTATCTTCTTGCACTAGTAAAAGCATTCAAATACGTCCGACCTTGAGGGGATAAGTAAAATATTGAGTTTATACTTCAAATTCCGAATAAATGCCAGCTAAGCGCTTAGAGGTTCTTAATAATATAACAGAGTTTAGGTGATGTATATGAACATACACTGATAAAGCCAAGAGGGAATATGTGTAGACTCCTTATCACATACCACCATCTCACCTACATCGATCTACCCTACGAGGTTCTACGATGCCTCAAAAGCCTATACCATACACAGGGCATTATTATATTTAATAGGCAGGGAACGCACAAGAGTCACATAGATCCAGTAACGAAATTTGCCTTAATCAACAGAATAGACGATTTCTTTGTAACTATTTGTTGCTACCAGAGTTGACCACTCCGTCGAATGCTGCATAATTCAAGCAGCTCCCGTGTCTTCTATGTTGGATATATGTAGTCATAATAGACCAAACCGTCCTTCTATTCAAACGCCGTGCGGGTAAGTCTCTCGATCCAGTCCCTAGAGCTTCCCAAAATTCCAGTTCCGGGCTAGATCCAATCCTCTCCGAGAAATGCCGTAACAAATGATGCGGGTTTCCTATTCAATCCGTACCGCATATGTCCCCTAACTCCGGTTTATGCGAGTGTGATATGATACAAGTTTCCCTTCTCGTTCGCAAAACTGATGTGGTTGCGTCTCCTGGTTTCGACGCTCGTTAACAACATGACTGGCAGCCCTACCGCCCATGCAGCTTTCGAAACCAGTGCGACATGTTCTTCCATTTCTGGTGCTTTGCTTTCCGGTCTTGGTCTTCCCTATCAGTTTCTTGAACTATATTCCGAACTGAGGATTTGCACCGAAGGCTGGGGGTTTCGCTAAATTCAATTTCAATGGGTTTGAGGGATACGGGGTTGGCTGAATAAGATGCCGAAATAACCCGGTGCCTCGCAGACAAAGAAGATGATGCTGATGATGTGGAATTGCTTTGTGAAGCAAGGTCAATTGGAGTGAGGGTAGATGGCGAATCCAACACCGCTACTAATGAACTTGCTTGGCTCCGATCCGGGAGGCTTACTTCCCAATCGCCTTTGAACTCTCGCTTATTCTTTGATTCTTGCCTAGGACTGCTTCTGACTCGGTCGCGTGTTTCTATCTCCGTGGCGTTCGACTTCTGTATAAAGCTAGTCCCAGTGGATGTCGCCCTCCTAGGTAACACGTTTGGTGTAAGCTGATCACCCATCCACAAGGCACCTGGGAGTTTTCGTCGGCTACCGGCGTTAGGAGCACTAGGCTTTGAGGTCGTCTCCAAATTTACACTCACAGACCGGTTCCGAGCTGATGCGCTTGTGGCTACCGGCGTGGCGGGAGGAGTCGGGGATAGGGTACCAAAATCTGCCGGCTTCCAATTAGGGGACCACCCGTGACGAAGTATTACCCATATAGCTGATATGGTAATAAAAGTTTTCTGCCAATCTTCAACTTGCCGAGTTGTTCGCTTAGGAGTGTTCTCTCCGTTGGTAGGAGATGTAGCTGTAGATAACATAGGAGAAGTCGGAGGATAACGGCTAGCGGACTGCGAGACGGTTGTATAGGAGTCTAGTATATCGAGCGATGAATTTGTTAGGGTGGCCATGATAGGATGGCGTCGGCAGTTAGGATCGATTATACTGAAGGTGAATTTACAGTCGGGCACAGGTATCGTAGGCGTGGAGCCTGGCGAGGTTGGCATGACTGGCAAGGATTTAGTTGCCATTTGCTTGCGAACCCATCTGGCTGTCGTGGTGTTTCCATTTGAATCAACAGTGACGAAATCATAGGAACATGAATTGGCACCGTTGAACCGTGGTGTTGCAGTCCAGACTGTTCCGTCGGCTAGCACGATTTCGGCTTTGTCTTCTGTCAAGACTGGACTTAATATCGCTAACAGCTCGCGGGACTTCAAGTCGTCGTCGTCGCCATCACTGTCTAACCCAGAAGCTTGCGCATCGTAGTCTTCACTCTTGACCAGCATGATATCCCGGATACCCAACTCTCGCTTGATGCGGGCGATGAGAGGAAAGCGCTTTAGCAAGGGTACAATCAAAGGTCCAGCTACGGCAAAGGATGGAAATACGTCAATAGCTGGTCTTGGACGCCTGTTAGCTGCTAACTGCTGCATCTGAAGTAATAGCTTAGGTCGTATATGTATTAGACGCTGCTTGCTACCCAGCCTTGGAGGCGGATGTGCAAGGAGAAAGGTAGTGCTTTTCCGCATGACTCTCCTTCGGTTGCGACGAGCCGAAGACGATACGCGGCTCGCGTCACTATCGGATGCAATTGAGCCTTCATCCTCGCTCATTGCTTCTGGCTTGGCCGTCGTCGAATCGCATTGGGGCTCTTGAAATTTCACAGTAGCGCCGGGGGTCCTAGGTATATATTCCGAAAGAGGACGAGGTCGTCGTAAATCAGGCGAGGTAGGTTCATTAAGTGAGGGTGAAGTGTTAGGGTGATATGAGGAAGATCGTTTTATAGGTGCTGCAAAAGCAGATCGCAGAAGAGGATTGCGCCTATGACCAGGCTGAGGGTTCGGCCGATTTGAATACTCATGGCCATGTAGGCTAGCTCCCGAATGCAGGAACATTATGGAAGAAATTCCATCCAAGCTTCCACTTTCCACGGCTTTGAGTGGGGAGGAGTCTTTTACGACAGGCTCAAGTCGAATATCTGGGTAGTTGCCGGGTAGTCTCGATGAACAAGCAAGCAAGTCCTACGCTACCACAAGACCGATCATACTGTGTCTTATGGTATATGATCCTACGGCCCCCACAGATTCTAGGCTGACTTTTTAGGAATTAGACGGGGGAAGAGAGAAAAAGAGGCTTAAGGGATATGGAATAATAGTGGTATATTCGCGGAGGCTGAGTTTTGTGAGGGATCCGGAGCCGTAAAGTAGAAGATGATGGCATACGACGTTGAAGCAGTGTTAAAGCGTTAAAGCGATAGGTACATTAATAGGTACTTAGGTAGATACCTGTTAACGCGGTAAAAGGTTTAGGTATTGGGGAGCTGAGTCGTGGCCTGACAGGCTGAACGCTATTCGGTTCGTCCAGAAACGCGCGTATCGGCCAAGGATTAGGGGGGGTTGCTTTTCAGTACAGTGAGTGGTTAAGGGAGGTAAAAAGAGGTAAGGGGGGTTTCGAGGGGTAAAGACAAGCCAAGGATATATGTATATATTTCCAAATATACACCCATAATAAGGTACATATATTAAACATATATGTGTATGAACATATATATGTACGGGAGAGGCGGTGGATCTTGATCGTCGTTAAACCATGTGCGTGCCCCGTCGGCTTGGTAAAGTCCCACTGCTTTCCACTGATTCCACTGCTTCAGCTTCAGCTCGGGTTCGGATACAGGCCGAGCTTTTTCGCTAAGACCCGCTGTCGTCTGAAAAAAATAAAATAAAAAGTCGCACCAGAAAATAATCGAATCAGTCAGTCCTTGTTAGATTCTAGCCGAGGCTGAATTTTAGTTGCTTAGAAGGTAGCTATCCAAGCTATAAAATGTAAATTGCGCTATGTATGCACACACATACATGACATACATACGTGTAACGACTCGTTAGCTTCGATGTCTAATTTTTTTCTTCTTCTTTCTTTCTCTAAACCCGAGAACGGGCATAAACAGATTTACAATTTTGTCAGCAAAGAAAGAAAAAAAAAAGGATCGTCAGGATTGCATATGTAAGCTGTTAAGTTTAAATTAAAAAAAGAAATGTACGATACATGATACGTCTAATAGATAAGATCGTAAGGTAATCTAAGGTATAACAAAGGCAGTAGGAAATAAAAATGGTAGGCTGGGTAGTACTGAATGTTGCAATTTATTATTATTGTTATTGCGGTAAGTAAACCATAATTTGTGGTTGGAATGGAATAATGCACTTTTTTAATATTCCATGTCTGCATAAGGTACCACAATGATGCGATTACAAAATATCGGTATATAAAAATCGACAGGGGCAGAAAGATCAGATAGTGTCATCTTAACCTGGTTGGTCGGCAGTTAGTTATGCAGATAACTCTTATTACAGTAGAGTAGCAGAGAGGCAGAATGTACACCTCCTTAATTCTTTAGGTTTCAATGCTACCAGGTCTACAGGTGCATCTAATGGCCTATGCACATAGTAGTGTAGCAGTCTAGGCAGCTGTATTGGAGGCTCGATAGGCCGCCCCATAGGGCAGAAAACCCACCGCGTAGTTTTCGGCGTTCTAGGCTCCCATATTCTTCTCCCTTTAGTTGGTGCGGTTTCTAGTCTGCCCATAGATTCCTATTGGTCCGATGCATGTGCTCGGCACTGTATAACCGGTCTACTAGGGGCCGATCACACCGATACATTCCTACATGTGCGCCATCTTCCGTTCCTGTATGTTACCTACATGTAGGTATGTCTTTCTGTAAGTAATCAGTAATCGCTAATCTTGGTAATTGCTCTGTTGACGATGTCTTCATCATTTGATACATTTACGACTTCAATTTATGACGAATTTACCGTATCCATTATCCATAAGAGGTAGCGAATTTCCGCCGACGACGTCACATCAAAAGGTTAAAGATCGACAATATTTATTCGTCTGCCTAAAGAATAAAGAATCTTGAGATAACTTTCTTAGGTACCTTAGATATAGACGTAGGGTCTTCAATCCAACACAATAGCGGAGCGGTGACTTGGATATTATCCTCCTTAAACCCGCTAAGACAATAAAGCAAAAATAGTCGAAAGCTGCAAGATGCAAGATATGTTGTCCCATCCACCTCGTTAGTTAGCCTGTAGCCCTTCCGCACGTGTATCCAATCAGGACTTCGTGAAGGAATCCTATTCATATGTCGGTGAGAGTATAACAAAATAGAAGGTCTGATGATCATGAAGCCATGTGCCTTGAGTAGCTCAAATTAGCAGTTCGTCTCCGTAATGGTCTCTTTGAGAATATTATAGAGTCGGCGACGATGTACAAATTCGGCCATGGTTTATCCTCATATTCTCCGTCAGCACCGAGGTTCGATTACATACCGAGAACCACAACAATATTCACAAGCGGCTTTTTCGGATGGTTATTACTCATGTGCTAAGTTATCCCAACCTCGCCAACAAAGATTTTCAGCACTTCCCGCGAACTAAGAAAAAGAGGCTACTTCTAACTTGCCGAGGCCGAACTTCAAATGTCACAAACCCGCAAAGCACAAATGGAACTCGCCCGGGTCGAGTAATGTACTCTTACAATGCTCTTAACCTAAGACAATGACGACATGCCGTGATTTCCGTCTAAATACCTAATAATCTGCCTATGTAACTCTTACATCTGACGTGCGTATCTAATGTACAATAGGTATGATATATAGTTGACATCAAGGATCGTCCACTTATCATCATTTATGATAACGTGGCTGCGCCCTAGGTTTATCCCATCTTGGAACTAGGTACATTCGCATTCGCTTTTGCGATACCTACCTGTAGAAATATTAGACGCTTCAACCCGTTATGCCTCATGCATGTTTCTGATTCTATCAATCCATTACATACATGGAACAGCCACTGTAAAAGCCACAAAAGCCAGGATTTCTTAAAATGATGGGCGATCGACGAGGCTGATCACATCGGGGTGTTCATTGCTCATTTAGGATAAAGAGAACTTGTGCCTACTATGTCAGCCAAGGTAATAATGACTGTCGTCTCATTGTCAGCAGATGATTCCTTCATATGTAATTTCCATAGCTTCTAGAGTATTCGTATTCGTATAAAATAAAGAGAGTGTTACTTCGTACTTAATCCCACGATTATCTAAGATAAGGCACGTGCACAATTAATTAGCCACACCCAAGCTCAAATTGGTGTGGCTCGGGAATTCCAACCTTTTTTAGCCCCTGTCCCATTCTCTTATTCGACGCCAGTCATCGAGAATCGAGATACCCAAAGGTACCTAAAGAGGTACATCTACTTTTCAATCATGCCCTCCCTCGATTCTAAAAATCCTATTACATCATTAGTTGGCTCATTCATTGCTTGGAAATCACTACTCCTACTTATTGTTATCGGGAGTAGCGTTGGTCCAGCTTACGACACCTCAAGCACTCTATTATCCCCTGAGATAACTTCATCCCACGAACCTCCATTTGACTTGGCTACAAAGTTAACAAGATGGGATTCTATTTACTTTATACAGGCCTCTCGTCGAGGTTATCTGTTTGAGCAGGAATGGGCATTTGGCATCGGGTTTCCAACTGTCATCTTTTATCTTAGTCAAGGTCCTTAATCCTATTTTTCTTATGTGATACTGTCTATTACGCCCGTTATATATTCTAACTCGCACCAATAGGACTTTCTAGCTTTGGAATTCAGTCCCATGAATCCCTTGAGCCACTTATCGGGATATTGGTAGCTCACACATCCCATCTACTCTCTGTGCTTGCCTTGTATCAGCTTGGACTCGTCGTCCTAAGAAATCAGCGGCTGTCGTTTATCGCGGCGCTACTGCATATCCTGTCTCCGGCTGGGCTTTTCTTGTCAGCTCCATATAACGAGAGCACCTTTGCTTTTCTATCTTTTACCGGCTATCTCTTCTTTGCAAAGGGTTTACTTGGGCCAAAACGAACTTTTGCCCACGATGTAAGCTTGGTTGCTTCAGGTATGTGGTTTGGCTTCGCCACCACATTTCGTAGCAATGGCCTATTCAATGGGATCCCATTCGCAATTGCGCTGACCCATGAACTCACTATGCCACCTACTCTATCTAGTATCCGACGACGATTTGCCCTACTCTTGGGAGGTTTGGCGATAGCAGTTAGCTTTGTGATTCCACAACTTGTTGCATTTCAAATCTTCTGCTCCGTTCCTTCCGGTACCAGGTTAAGACCTTGGTGCACGAGCGCATTTCCCAGTATTTACTCATTCGTTCAAGCGCGCTATTGGTTAGTAGAAATTATTCCTCTATGTTGACGACGCTAACACCGAGGATAGGAACGTTGGCTTTCTCCACTACTGGACTCCATCAAATATACCCCTTTTCTTACTCGCTGCGCCAATGATTTACATTCTTATAACCTCAAGTGTAGAGCTCATCAGACGGCCTCTGAGTATCGCATCTAAAGAATCCATTACCGGTAACCACTCGCATCTTACAGTATTAGTCCGTTCCATGGCCTTATCCCAGCTCATCTTAGCTGCTTTATCCATCACAAACTATCACATCCAAATCATCACGAGGATCTCATCAGGATATCCGCTCTGGTACTGGTGGCTGGCAGGGGTAATTACTGAGAAAAAGACCTCCAAATTTGGGGGAAACGTCGTGAAGTTTATGATCATGTACGCCGCCATTCAGGGAGCCCTCTTTGCCTCTTTCCTTCCTCCGGCCTAATATGTATCATGTACTACCGCGTAATTTTTTCAGTGAACTCCAGGTTCCAAACTGTATAGTCGTCGTTTTATTATATAGGACATGTTAAAAAGCATAACATCATTATATCGTATCCATCCTATAACCCATGTCGTCGAAGAGATGGTAGTTATTCATACCAAATATCACAATCTATAGCATCCAGAGGGATCTAGTTCATAATCACAATATAAACATGTAATCACAAGGTAAAGAAATTATATCGTAGTAGACACGTTCTTTCTCGGTTTAAGTATAGGCACTTATACAAGAGGCTGTTGCAGAGGGGTGCCTTCTCCCTTGGCACTACAATAAGCGTAGATATTATCCTCTAGTAGTATTTCAGAGGAATTTGAATCTCTAACGGCAAGCGCCGCCTTCTATTCACGCCACACCAACACAGCACTCACGATCTTTTGACGTGTATAGGAAAGTGCGCCGATAACAAAAACGCATTTTACACCTCCTGCCATACCGGCACTCCTCAATCGTATATAATCTAAGGGTTCCTCTTCGAAAGTCATCTTCTATTATTCTTTTCCTTAACAAATCCCTCCTGAATATTCGATTCCCAACCATAAAGTACTCAAGAACCATGGCGCATTCTGATCACCCTCGTCCTTCCCCAAACCGTGCACGCGATCTTCGCGATAGCGGAAACACTAACATGGAATCGATGCTTGCACCGGATGTCCAGGACTGGCTTAAACTTACCGGCTGGCACGAGATTGACTATCGTGAGAAGAAACTAGCAGATTACCGAAACACTGATACTGGAGACGAGAAGCATGATACAGGCAAGGCTAAATTAGGCACTGGTCTTATCAAGAAAGACCTTGACTCTGTTCTTTCTGACATCCCTCAAGATTCGGCACCTGCGCGGGTACGTCTCACTGAATCCGAAGGTCTGAAGGATAGCATTGAAGTGCATCGTGGCAGAGGCAGCAGGAACGTTGTTGTTCCCACGACCCATGCCCGTTCAGTGTCACCCCTTCGTTTCCACCGCCATGAACATGACAAATACCGTATTCGCGGTTACTCCCGAGTCTACTATAATGAATACGATCAGCCTTTGACACCTCGCGGATCGCCTCTACGTTATATTGTCCGGCCGAGCGGCCGTCCTACACACACTACCGAGAGAATCGAGAACTATGACAGCCCAAACAGAGAGCGAGTAGATGATCAACGAGATTTGACCCGCGAGATGATGCACTTACGCCACCCTAAGCAGCTTGTTCTTGAGGGTAAAGGTGGTAGGTCTTACCCCGGATATTTGAGGATATGTGTTGCCTCCTCATAATAGGTTACTGACAATTGTTGTGCTTTCTAGAAGTCTGCTTCTTTGTGATGAGATCGTACAGTTGGTCTCATGTCTACGACTCAATGGTAACTTGTATCCCCGTACGTATACCGACGATTCACGAAATAACAATTTAACAGGAAGATGGTTTATGGGCTACTCAGACTCCCAATGCGGAGATTCTAAGCAAGGTCTTTGCCAGCGGCAAGACAGTGGTCCTCTTCTTCGCCGTCAACAAGTCTCACGGGTTTCAGGGCTATGTCAGTATTTCCAGCATGATTAATCAAGCACTTTTTCGTCCTTCCCTTCTCCCTTACTTCATTTCTTACTCCCTAAATTTACATCCCCTTGCTGAACTGCGTTGGCTAACTGACCCTACATCTTCAATGCAGGCCCTCATGAAGTCACTTCCCTCTGCGGATATTCGCCCTATGTGGTGGTACGGAGTCAAGTGGAACATCTCGGAGCCATTCAAGGTTGAGTGGATTAATACAATGCATGTCGGCAGTAAACATGTATTGCATATCACAAACCGTCTCAACGAAGACCTTCCGGTTACGCGAGCCCGTAACGGTCAAGAAATCGACGAAAACGCCGGCCGACAAATGGTTTGCATCCTCGAGTCCCGTGGTGTAGAAGAGTACAAGCGAGCCAAACGAATTGGTTCTCTTTCTAAGTAATAAGCTTATGGCCCTAATTCCGCAAAAGTGACGCCTTCAGCAGACTTTCGATCTTACTTCACTACTTAAGTGGTACTATGCGACTGGATTCTTTACCTTTGCTATACTAGAATAAGAAGATGGGAATTGGTGTCTTCTAACATTTGACATCGAGATGCTTATCTCTTCAGTTACCGAGACCTTCATATACGACAATTAGTTTACTCGACTCCGCGGCACTGCCTGATACCGATGATTTATGCGGAATGACTTTCTTGCTATCACAGATCTTCTGTTCTATCATATGAACTCTTACAAGACTTCTCCTCAGACTACAGCTTCTAAAGATGACCTACGCGACAAGAGGGAATATTACGTGCGGTGTCTTCTGATACTAAACATCTATGGACATGGCACCCCAATTTGGCAGGTAGTTAGGGAAGATCTGGAGGATCACCATCATACATGGATGATAGATCGCATCATAGTAATCGGAGATTTTCTTACATTCTATCGGAAACAGGTACTGATATAAGACTTTGACATACGTGCCGCTTACATACTAGTAATCTGGACCATCTTAGAGATCACCACGGAACTAGTTAGGGCGATGATACTAATGAGGCATTCGCTTCTACATACTATGTACAGCCCATTAATTAAATATTTTTAGTCACGTAATAAACTGACGGGTACGTGCTTCCGAAATGATGCTACTAGTACATAGTAGTCATCGTATATTTTTAGCCACGATGTGTATCTAGGCACTTAACTAGCGGATACCTGCTAGAAGATTTACTAACGAACCTCCCTGGTTCTGGGCTTAATGGAATCATGGGGCTAGCTCAAGCAAACATAAATCCTTTCGGCCGGTTGCCGGCATTGTGTCGGAAAAGCTCTACAGCTATTTCTCCAATGCAGTCAATGCTTTAATGATATCATAGAGATATCAGATATACAATTAATGATCGAAATGATAGGAAGCTGTGTAAGTGGCTTAGCGGCTCAACTGGGATATAGGTATCACTTTTGCGGCAACATCATCATGTGTAGTACAACTACTACTAAAGATGTCCATGCGGAGAAAAACTTAAGTACCGAGGGCGAAAGGGAAAAAAAAAAGAACTTTTATACACTAACTAACCGTCGCCTGCGAGTCATGTTTAGTACGCCAGTAGTTCGCGTCCTGTACTTTTATAACTAAAATCGTAAGCGTTTAATACAGTCAATAGACTCTCAAGCCAGCTGTGAACTGGTAGTTCTCGTATCAAGTCGAGGAGAGCTATCGCTTTTGCTAGTTCGTGGCGACGGCGTTGCTAGACACTATCTTATGCCGGCAAGCCCGGGTGGTCGCCGCAAAGGGCCATGAGTCTTGTCGTTTGCACGGATTAATTAATTAATTAACAAAGCTGAGGAATTCTCGGATTCCTTCGTCAGTTGGGGGCTTCGTCGGCTTCCTGCAGAATTCTTGTCATGCTTTTTTGGAAGATTCCAAAGTTCCACATATTTGATTGACGTTGAGGCGAGCATGGCAATATATGTCGTGTCACTGTCGCCTCAGGTTGAGACATCTGCAGTGGCCAGCTGCAGGTATTAGGTTAATCTATAACTTAATTGTCTTGGTCGATGCGAGAGACCGTGTGACGAAAACGAGGATGCCATGTGCGAGACGTCCGTGGACTAGGTATTTTGGCTGAGATTAGTTCCACCATCCCATGATCCATCCCAAGTCCCAAGTGCACGGCTCTAGAGCTGGAATCTTTGCGTTAACTCCCCCCAAGCTTCCCAAGCCATTTATGGACTCTAGCAACCTGGCCGAAGACCGACAAGCCACTATTTAAGGCATAGGGGCCACTTTATGGGAGCTCGGACTTCGCTTCTATTTACCGACAGTTAGGTTGGTGTTGATGTCAGATCTTTCTCATCAGCTCTCTTTCAAGGTTACCGCTGTCTGAGACAGCAGGGTTTGAGGCTGACGAGGCTGGTGAGGCTAGATGCCATGTTGAAAGGGTTTAAGCATGATCCTGGTCGTTTGTGGGATGGGATTCTTTAACGACAACCTATTAGTGTATTCAGTAAAGACTTGAGTCCCACACTTGCAAAATAAATAGGTAATAGTCACTAATAAAATGTGTATAGTTACTAATAAAAAAAACTGCCGGATTGTTCGAGCTATGCTATTAAGCCCGCTACTTGTGTTTGTATTTCGTAATGGTATTCTTTCGACCATTGACGCCGACTTCCATGAACCTTGCCCGTTTGTCTAATTTAGCGGTAGACAGCCGTTTTCTAATAAATCGACTTTATGATTGATTAAACGACTCTAACTTAGGAGCTGAAGTTCCGCTCCATTTATTGTTATTTACACCATAACAATTTTGAAACTTTTCCCTGATACTTTGCTTGCCCTGAACCTTTTTATTGTTTTGATCGTCGTGGGACGTTTGATTATGTAGGCAGCTCCACGTTACATTCTATGCAGCTTAGCACGACCGTACCTTACATATAATTGCGGTCTAGATGCAATACGAAGCCCTGTATGTAAAGAAGAAACCTGTAACTTTGTAACAGGGGCCTGAAAGGCAGGGGTCTACGAAACCCCTTGCCCCCCTCTTTCATAAACCGGTCGTGGCTTGATGGGCTGGGCTATGCGAAGTGGCCCGGCCTCTCCGGTGGGTCGTGGGTCGACTGGCATGACGGCTCATTTGACTTTTTGCAATCTATCTGCATGTCACTTGGAGCTACTTTTGGTTTGGTGTCAGTTCAACCCAGTCTTCTTTCGTGCCATCGAGTCGGTGGCTTGAAGAGATGCACCTATCTGCGGTATCTGTGTACCTGGAATGCACACGTGTGAGTGGGTAAGGGGGACAAGCTTCTCCTTGACCTATCTAACCACACAGACTCTAGCTAATAAAGGGAACACATATAATAAAATAAGCTATAATTACTGTTCCTGGTAATACGGCATTAATAAGTTCGGGGTGGCATCAGGATGCATATACATATGCAAGTGTACCTACATACATACCCTCCGTTCGCATATGCAGATGTGCAAATGTGCCAATAAATTGCAATAAGTTGCGAATTGGCTACTGTATGGAGAAATACGTCTCTTGGATTCTCCAATTTTAATATCCAGGGCAAAAAAAGTGTCCGTGTCGTGACAGGACCATCGTTCCAGTCCCTTTTTGTTCCTGTTTCTCCCCTTCTTACTTATGACACTCCATTTTCTTCACGCACGTATGGGGTTGTGTCTACGAAGCTGAAGTAGGGATTGGAAGAGGGTCTCTTAAGTTTTGGGAGCAGAAGCCGACGGGAGAAAAGCGATCATCACGATCCTTCATACCGACTTTTTTGGGGGTTCATGCAGGACACTTAATTATACGAGGCTGTTTGACGAACGTACAAGTTAAATCGTGGTCTTGTATCTTCGCCAATCCGGTAATTAACTTATCGACTTCGTATCACGACTCCTTCTCGATATACACGCACTACTGGGATATGCAATGCTAAGCATAGTCGGGATATTTACTTGTAGGATATGAGAGGAAGTTGTTTTGATATGCCGACTGGAGCATACTTGAATCTGACGCCCTGATCGACCGCCGACACTGCGACTGTTCGATAATAGGCACGGAATTGGTCCCTTCGTTTCAGTTCGCGGTAACAATCCGATTGTCTTGGCATCTGAAGCTTGTAGCATATGTTTATTTCCTTGGAGATATTGTCGTGGGAAAGAGAAGAGGCGGGAGATAGAGAGACTTTGAGGTTTAACATCCGATTCTTTGATCCTGTCGCTCTAGGCACGAACAACGAGCTTCATTTCGAAGCTTGACTTATTCAACCTTGTTATCGATCCATCGTCTGTGTGGTATACTATTCCTCGAAAATGGGTCATAAATCTAAATTTACGTTCCCCATGCCGGGACGCTCAGCGAAGCGCACACCCGCCACGGCGGTCTCGAACCCGCTCTCGAAAGCCGAAAGGATTTTGGGAACTAGCGGACAGAGTCTTGGTTCTCCTACCGGAACGAGGGATCCTGGCCGATCGTGGGAAACGGAATCGACCGGCGGCATCAGTATATCGATATCTGAGAGCAGCGCTAGTCAATCTGGTGCCCCGGACGAAGAAGATGATGGATACGACAGAACGACTTATGGTAGAGCTCTGTGGGAGAATGAATCGGAGGCGCTCCCGCGGCGGTTGCGTAGTACTAATGGCCTTTTTAGTAAGGGGTTAAAGCCCAAGAGGTCGGCTGTCACCCTTGGTGCTCGTAGCCGGGAGACTTTGACAGACGACACCAATGCTCACCGGCCCCAAACGAGTTCTACCATTAATTCATATTACGAATCGGATAAGATGCCGCTGTCAATATCGCAGCAGACATCAAATTCGGCGATGGCTAAGGGACTCCCGACGAAAGCTCACGCACTGTTAGATATCGACGGGGCACTCTACGGCCAGGTACAGCAGCCAAAGAAGAAGCCGTCCAAGTTAGATTTCTCAAAGCTTAGATTAAGGACTCGCAAGGAACACCACGCGGAACCTAATGGAGTTGGACCCGTCCTAGGAAATAACTATGTGATGAAGTCCCCATCTGTCATGTCACACGCGTCGCATTCTGCAGTCTCGCTGACGCGATCGCCTACGAGTCCCGGGGGGAGTAGTGAACAGACCCCGAGGCCGAACCTAATAATCCAGTCTCAGCCCCCGGAAGTATCGACACGAACAAGTCGCTCGAAGGTAATAAGTAATGCTAGCACATTACATCAGCTGTACGATCATTACGAACAAATGTCATTTCGGCATAATGGATCGTTAAAAGAGGAGGACGAAGAAGAAGAAGAGATAGGCGATAAGGGTCAGTTGAACCAGGAACACCTCCTTCCTCGGACGTACGAACCAACAGTCTCAGACGTGTCTCGTGAAGATATGATCACGCCGCTACCGAATTCATCGCTTAGGGACCCGAACTCCAGATGGAATCACAGCCGAAACACCTCACAAGCAAGTAAAGTTACGGCTATGAGAGCCGAGACACCGAGTACTTTACAGATACGCCCATCGTCGAGGAATGAATATGCTGCAAGTGTATCAAGTCGCCATACACGAACCTCAAAAGCTACACCATCGATTATGAGCACTATAGACTCCGATAGGCAGCAGCAGAGCGTCTTATCGCTCACTGATTCGGAATCTGACGAAGGGGAGACTGCATATTCTGGACCGGGCTCATCTCTGCGATCTTACGATAATAGCTTTCGTGACGATTCTAGCGTAGCTTCGAGCCAGCGACAACGGAGCACATCACGGCTTTCTATCAGTAGCCACTCGACTAATCCTAAAGGAGCGTCATACGCGCACCTCAACGACTATCTCACCATTCCTCATGCCTCTCCGAAAACTAAGAGCACCCGATCACCGTCACCTATTACCCTCCACTCCACTAATTCATCTATAAGCACGGCGACTCGGGTCTCTTTGCCTATCCATCACCAAGACCCTCAACCTCAAGCCCAACCCCGAGCTGCTCGCGGGTCTGTTTCGACAGTAAACACCGTAGGCTCTATTTTGTCTCCGACTTACAGTACACATACCCATTATAGTGTACAGGAAGCAAGGGCGATCGCCTTCACTCCATACGCTTCTACAGCAGTATCCGCATCATCAGTTTCAGTGGACCAAATACCAATTAGTTTAAATAATGCGCTCGCACAGCAAGGAAGACAGCGTGGGTCGCAGAATTCTCATACTTCCGATCAGCCAACACCACCGCTGTCGCCAACTAGCGTGGAATTTTATAGGAAATCACCGGAATCTTCACGGCGAGAATCTACTGTAAGCAAAGCTAGCGACTCACAGAATGGACGGATGATGGCGGTAACGAAACAAGAGGAGATGCTTCTTGCTGCGCTGCGGAAGAAGAGGGCTAGGATGCGGGAGAATATAATCGCCGAGCTTGAGGAGGGTAGGAATAGCCCTGGAGGTGCTGGCCTTGAAGACGCTGAAGATCTTGAGCAATTAGCATCGGCGCATTTAAAAGATGCCGAGAGACAGGCGACTAAAGAAGTCAGGGAGGCTCGTGCTAGGGCAAAACAATCTAATAATTTCCCAATGAGGTCGTCGTCACTCGTTGGGCGAGCTGGTCGGAGTTCTAGTAGCGGGCACGGTCGAGTGCGTAATCATTCTAATGGACCACGCCGTATGGAGGCGTCGCCATCGGCTAGCTATAGAGAGCCGGTAGATAGAGCCCCTTCTCGAATGAGAGCCTCTCCCGGGCCCGAGTCTCGACCAGCCGGCAAATCCCGTCACGAGCGAGTACTTCTCTACCTGGATCGACCGATTGATAGTATCGATGTGATCGACGAGGCAGAACCGAGCCCGGATTTGAGCGAGTTTATGGAGGACGACTTGGGATTCCCACCCGGCGAGCGTCGAAGCAGGATTCGATCGAAACCTAGTAGTAGCCCGTACGGATCACCCCACAACGGCCGGCCACGACCTGACTCGAGTCCGATGAGCCCGAGGGGTATCCCGATTAAGAACCTATCGAAAGGTAGCCCCTCAATCAACGAGGACATTGATGCCGATGATATAGATTTTGACGACTTCCCAATGGTGGGCGGACGACCCAAGCTTTCTACCCTCAAGCCGGTGCCAGAGAAGGGAATCCCTAGACCGGATAGCCCCGTCTCCCCGGCAGACGGATTCTTACCCCCGTCTACTCTTGGTCATAAGAAGGGGAAGAAGAGTGCTGTGAGACTGAGTGCTGTGGGCCAGATTAATTCACCAGTACCTTGGTGGGGAGACGACGACTGAAGAAGAGTATGATTTACTCGTTGCTAAAGACTGCAATTGGCAACAGTCATTGCTCTCACCCCTTCCCGAGTTATCGAGCTGGTATAACATCTCACCACAACTTTTTTATGTTTTCGAAATATGCATGGACGTAAATGGTTGTTTGTTTGGCGCTTGGTTTTTATTTTTATTTTTTCACGACTGTCAGGCGAGTGAGTTCGGGTGGGAAATCACACAGGGTTCATAATCGAATATACTGGGAGCTCGGCATCACTGCTTACGACTAATACACCACACCTACCCACTGCTATTACTACCTTTTTGCCATCTCAACAATATTCGGAATAATGCCATATCATCGGAGGGCGCGACGGTCAAAAAATCTAATTTTTTCGAAATCTGTTTTTTGTCGTTCCTAACTAATTGGATGTTAAAATTTTTAAAAAGACGAGCTTTGCGGCGCGGTCTGGGCTTCGATGGCTACCGGGGATAATCATATTATTAAGGAAAAAAAGCAGAGAGAATTCAGCTTGGGTTGGTTGCTTTCTTTTTTTGCATCTATGTACTACCATGGGAAGAGCTATATGTAATATCAGGGATCGAGTGGGGTGACGGGAAGGACTGCGTACGATTTTATGTGCAACTAGGTGATGCAATGCGTGTTTGTTGGGTTTTACGTATGGGTGTGGTGGTGGTGGTGGTGGTGGTGGTGTGTGTTATGGTGCATGAACATTTGAGGGGAGCCCTTACGATTCGAATTCATCGCGATGTTCAAGAAAGGGTTATCTATCATATTCCTCTTGTTAGCCATTTCTCGCTCTCGAGGACACATAAGACGAAGTAATAGAAAGAAAAGAAAATACATATACAAATTACAACTGTAGACTTGCTATACATTAGGAGCTAATCTATGTGTGTGTTTGTATTCGTGTATGTGTGGATATAAATTTGAAGGTATCCTTGAAAATTAATTGGCTGGCGGACTGATTGTCAAGGAGGGGTTCATAAGTAGCATTAAACCATTTGAAAACTTCAAGGAATAGCCAGTTTGGCCGAGGTAAGTTTTTACAAGATTTCATCGTAATATGTTCACACGCTAATACCTTGCAGTGGTCTAAGGCGGTGGTTTTAAGTCTGATCTAAAAGATCTTGAACACCATTATCGAGAGATGCGCAGGTTCGAACCCTGCAGCTGGCAACTTCATTTTTGGAATTTTTTATTTACTCTTTTTGTCTTTTGGAGATGTTGATTTGTCTCTTTTACCTAACTCCTATCTTCGTGTCTTCGTTGAGTTTACCATGAGGTAGGTAATTATTTTATTTCCCGGTAAATTCTAGGCCTAGAATAGGTAAATCATTCTACAACATCGCGATGATTTAATAGTGCATCGACCACGTTGAAGACATCGATTGGCATTCACTTGAGCTGTGGATCCGTAAAAGATCCAGGCCCCGCGATCCACGATCTGACCTAATAAAATACCCGCAAATCGAAGCTATTCCGTTCTTTTTCTCTAAAGGGGTGGGAATACTCGCATATCTAAATTTTAGTAATGCAGGTAGAACAAGAAATATATCAGTTTCTTTCCTGTTCACCCCGCATCCTTCCATTTAGCGCCGTCTTCTTGCTCACGGGAGCTTGCTAGTCATGACAGTACATAGTCAAGCTTTTTAGAGCGGCAGTGAAAGATATCCACTAGATACTCTAGACTGGCGTGGATGATCGAAGAATCATACATTTATATATCATGGGATCAATGACTTGATACTAATGGAAGACATAGTAAGTAGATGGTGAACCTAGATAATACCTAACCGCACACCATCTAAAGCTTTCGAATATAATGCGAAGACCTTGACAAACAACGGCACGAATACTAATATATTAATAATAATAATAATAATAACAATAATAAAATGGCTAACCATTTTCAGTGGTAGCGGTGTGTAAAACGATTTGAAACATGTGTCGTTCGAAGTGACCGGAGGAGATCAAGAGCCTGGAGCTCTTTTTTGGATATCCCCCACCACGAAAATCAGATCGCTCCGTGACGATCACGGAAGCCGAAAGAGGTCAAGGCGCAACCAACTAATAACGAACTAAACGGACTGAACCATACATGATTAATATACGTGTCATCGGAACAATACTGACTTTAATTAAATAGCCCCGGGTATGAAGACTAGTGTACGGCGGAGTTCGGGGAACTTAAATGGTTATTGACTATTCCTCCGTGGGAAAACCTTCAAATCAAGATATTATCGGTATTATTATTTACTACAGCTTAAACCGTCTACATATGGTTGGTTCGGTATCCAGGTACGTAACAGGATGCATCAAGGCTAGGACAGGATCTGGCTGTATTCCACAATTACTGCGACCTATTTTAGTACCTATTATTTGCAGAATCGTGGTATCTAGTACGCCCACCCTGTAGTGTCCAGGCACAACATAGCTCCCAGCCTTGATAATCTTTACGTATTGGGGGAAAACTCGAGCGCCTTTGATATCATCAACCTATGCCAACTTATGTATGGTCCGGCCCTAAATAAGTAGCACAGGTACCCGTAGCCATGACAGCACATTTGTAGTTCTACGGCCTTTTGCTGAACAAGAACTTTTGTAAACCCTTTTGTTCCCCTTCTGCCTTTTCATATTTACTTTTCCAACCCAATCTAAATACAACTTCTAAAGTTGACTGCTATATGTCAAGTTGTCTAAGTTAACTTGACCCCCGTTGGCACCGAGTGTCACAGATTCTTTGCTTGCTACAGGTCACTAGGATGTTAAATGTTATTTGGTGGAGATGTTACTTGAAGCAGTTAATAAGTATCGTATTGCTTTATTTATATGGCAAGATACAAAACCGTTCGAAGATTCTAGCATAAGTTTTGCTTGAATAGGTAATTTTGGACAATAAAAGTCTCCCAAAATCAGGAGATATATTTGTAGTTGTATTTTGCCATAATATTTTGAATGTCCTAATACTTCGCTCTTTCAAGTAACATCTCCACCAAATAACATTTAACATCCTAGTGACCTATACATTAAGTGGTGTCACATTCAGGGGTTGAGAAGAGCTTAATAGGTCTGGTCCCATTTTGAGAGTGACCTGGATGTGGGTGGTTGAAGCGCGTCCGCTAAAATCGGCAATACCTTCAATGACTGTGCATCTTTTTTTAATTTATTTTATTTAACAAGACGCGACGCATTGAATATTGACTTCAATCCAAGATTTTTCGTTCTTTTATTTAACGACAACCGGTACGCGATTACGAAATTCCACTATTACTGCGGCAATATTATAACAGGAAAAGATTTTCGCATAGAGCTTTTTGAGACATCAATTAGCTAATTCAGCCATTATTTAAACAAAAGCTTCGACCGATTAGGAGGGGCTTAGAAAGAAAGGGAAGAGAAAACAACAGCGAACGAGGCTTTCGCGAACTTGGCCAAACTGCGGTCATAACTTATCAACCATCATGGCTCTCCTCGATGGTGCCCCGCAACCCGCGGGAGGGCCTCTCCTCTTCGGCGTGCCCATGAAGCAGCTTTCTCTTATTACGGTATGTGCTGGAGCGGTTGGAAGAGGTATCATCTGGCGACAGCGCAGTATAGCTAACATGTTACTACTCTTAGTTAACTTTCCAAAACTCGGTGCTGATCATACTTATGCATTACTCTCGAATGATGCCTCCGAGCGGCGACCACCGATATTTCACGTCGACAGCTGTGTTCTTGACCGAAGTGATGAAGTTAGCGATTTCTCTAACCTTCGCCATATACGAAGTTTCGAGGAACCTTGCGCCTTCGACACCTGCGACTGTTATATTCGAGCAGATATTCAACTCGGTTTTTTCGGGTGACGGCTGGAAGGTAGCTATCGCAGCGACGCTATACACACTGCAGAACATGTTACAATATGTCGCAGTAGGAAACCTTGATCCGGTCCATTTCCAGATTCTCTACCAACTTCGGATTCTAACGACTGCGATATTTACTGTGACGATGCTTGGCCGATCCGTGACCGTGAAGCGCTGGGTTTCTCTCATCATTCTAACCATGGGTGTTTCAATCGTGTGCATCCCATCCTCGAACTCGAAAGACAGCTCGTTCATGATCCACGACATGACGGATCACTTCTTCCCTCGTTCGGTACATGAGCTTGGTCAAGTAGCGAATGGAATGGGCGACGTGGCGAGAGAGCTCACAAGGCGTGGCATGGAAACTATAGCTGAGGTCGGCCAGGCTCTTGCGAAACGGTCTGCGACGTACGAAGGAATCGAGGAAGATCAAAACACAGCGCCTGTAATGAACTACTCGATCGGACTTTCGGCTGTATTTGCTGTAGCGGTTATTTCTGGCTTAACGGGGGTCTACTTCGAGAAGGTCCTTAAGGATACAGAAAATCCTGCTTCAGTCTGGACTCGTAACATACAACTGTCGTTCTATTCGCTTTTTCCGGCGCTGCTTGGCATCGTATTTAAGGATGGCGAAGAGATTGCGAAGCATGGGTTATTCGATGGGTACAACTGGATTGTGTGGGCATTGATCATCCTACAAGCGTTCGGCGGTGTTCTCACTTCGCTCTGCATCAATTACGCTGATAACATTGCTAAGAACTTTGCTACGAGTATTAGCATTGTTATAGGCTTCCTATTCAGCGTATGGTTCTTCAAAGTCCATGTTACACTAACGGTATGTTTTATATCATCCAGTAGCCTCTATCATATGCGAAATGGCTCGCTAATTGATATTCTTAGTTTCTCATTGGTACCGCTTTGGTACTCGTCTCGACTTTCCTCTATACAGGTCCTGATCGGAAGCGTGGCCGGCCGCCACCGATCAACATTGTCAACTTTGAGAAGACGACTATCGACCCGATGAATACGCCAAGGTACACGGACGACAAGCTTAGCGTTCCCAATCCGCTTGAGAACATGAAGGGGATGGGTCTCTCAACCTCGCGTCCTGCTTCACCATTGCGATTCCATAATCGTGGGCCATCATCTCAAGGAAAGAACCGTGACGAATGAGCGTATATGAATTATAGACTACCTAGGCAAAGGGAGGAATATGGAGTGGCGGTCTCTTGAGAGTATGAGAAGGTACTGCTTAAGATAAGTGCCGAGCCGAAGTTAGAACGAGGCTCCCTTCCCATATACAGGGGACCATTAGATGCATTGCAAGATATTGATTAATCTTGATAATTGCACAAATCCAATTGAATTGGAAATTGCAATGATACCGTGTGCTTTGGAAAACATGTGAGCAAGATCGAAGTAGGTTATGAAGGATAAGGTCATGAAAAATAGGGGGTAAGGAAAAGAGTAGATTTTGTGCATAGGTACTACATAGGTACTACATAGGTAAATACCTATTCTTCTTGTCAACCTATTACCACTTTCAATTATAACCATATTGACGCTCTATGAAGATGTCTAACCCCTATCCGAAGAGTCACGTGGTGTTAAGGTTTCTCCTTTAATTTATAGTAGGAAGGAGTAGGCAAGATGTTAGTCATAACATGCTCGCCTACCTTGTCCCCTTATCTGAGCTCGTGGTAGCTACTGCCCTTGACCAGAATTAGATAATCAGGTTTTAGGACGCCTACCTATGCACTTACCTTCTATATACTTCTATATAGGTGCCTTCCTCCCTTCTTCAACTTCAAATCTTTTCATCACGATTGATCTTTTCCGGGGTCTTCAAGTGTGTTTCTATTCTCGCGAGTAACGGCCGGCATGTCGAGGCCTGGCTAGCATCAACCATTGTCTTTGTATCTCTAGAAGTTCTTATAGTTTTATTATCCCTGTATCTTTGAACATTTGTTAGATCTAGGAGAAGCGCTATTCCTATAATCAACACCATGTCTAACGGCGCAGAGCCGAGTGAAGGTGGCCATAACTATCGTCTCCCGTACAAGTCGGCGCATGATAGACATATCCAGAACATCATTGACCATACCACTACTCTTTTCCCGGACTACGACTATCAATTTCCACGATTTCAGCTTCCCAGTAGTATTAATGAAAACGACATAGACCCTGAAGGAGATCATGACCTAGATGATTTTGGTAAGTTAACATGCCAATATAACTATTCAGAAATACTAGAAGTTCCTAATAGTACATAGATCGTACTCTGCTCGGTCGATCGTATAGGCCTGCCCGTATTCATGAGTCGGAACATCGTGATCAACGCATATCACTACCACTTACCAATACCCCTAATCAAGCGAGACGTGTTGTAGGAGATGCAAGCCATCACTTTAGAGCGTTCGCGACGCGTGATCCAGAATATCAGTCGCCGTTTTTAAGTATTGCAGCTCATATAGAGAAAGTCAAACCGAGTCCAAGCTCCCAGTCAATATTTGAGCGTGGCGGTGGATCGGGTAGAATAGGAGAATTGCAGCCTGGAGTGCAAATGATGACACCTCCTTTCTACACCGGTTAGTCAAAAGTTGTATCTAATTATTTATAGTATACTAACCATAGATAAAAGGCCCAAACTCAAATGCGGCGGTTGAAAGTTCGCTCACTAGCAGCTCCCCTACAATTATTGGCGGATCTAGCCCTTCTATGCGCCTGAGCCTTAAACAAAAGGCTAAAGTAGCCAACAGTCCTCTTGTATCTCATAAAAGAGCAAGTAGGTTAGGTTTAACCCTCAACCATGCTCCGGATGAACCACCTACCGTGAATTCCACTCGCCTAATCGATCCAAGGCAGGCACTGCCTGATAAATTTCGGCCTGTTTTCCCTTACGCGCTCTTTAACGTTGTTCAATCTAGATGTTTCCCACTTGTATACGGCACAAACGATAATGTTGTCGTCTCGGCTCCAACGGGGTCTGGCAAGACAGCTATTCTAGAAATGGCTATCTGCAAGCTTGTAATGAGCCCAGGTAGTGAGAATTACAAAATCGTCTATCAAGCGCCAACGAAGTCCTTATGTTCGGAGCGGGCGAAAGATTGGCAAAACAAATTCAGTCATATGAACCTAGGATGTATCGAACTTACCGGTGATACTTCGCAAGCAAAGGCGAGTCGAGTAGGCAGTGCATCAATTATCGTCACTACCCCTGAGAAGTGGGATTCTATAACCAGAAAGTGGTCAGATCATCGGAAACTACTTGAGATGGTCCGTCTAGTCTTAATTGACGAAGTACATATCCTGAAAGACGTTCGCGGCGCCACATTAGAAGCTGTTGTTTCTCGTATGAAAACTATTGGAGCAAATATCCGATTTATTGCTTTGAGTGCTACCGTCCCGAATATCGAAGACATTGCGAAATGGCTCGGACGAGACCATTCGAATCAATATGAAGCAGCCCGGACCGAGGCATTTGGCGAGGAACTACGGCCAGTTAAACTACAGCGATATGTTTACGGATACGAGGGCTGCTCGAATGATTTTTCATTCGAGAAGTCCCTCGACGGGAAGCTGGCTATGCTACTTGCGAAGCATTCGGAGAAGAAGCCAATCATGATATTCTGCTTTACTAGAAAGTCGTGTGAGCTAACAGCTCGGAAGCTAGCTGAATGGTGGTCAGCCTGCAGCGTGGAAGACCGAGCTTGGCCAGCACCGACAAGACGAGTCTCAGTAACAAGTGCAGAGCTCCAGGAGATCGCCCGATATGGTGTGGCTTTTCACCACGCGGGTCTCGACACACAAGATAGATTAGCGGTAGCACAGAATTTCCTCGATGGCCAGATTCATGTTATCTGTTGCACATCGACCTTAGCAGTTGGAGTGAACCTTCCTTGTCATACCGTGGTTCTAAAGGGGACAGTTGCGTACTCCGACAACAAGCTTCAAGAATATTCAAACCTGGAGGTTATGCAAATGCTTGGTCGTGCAGGTCGACCACAATTTGACGATAGCGCTGTGGCCATTATTATGACCCGGAAAGCAAACGTTGATCAATATAAAAGCATGATATCTGGGGACGAGACTTTAGAGAGTACACTTCATCGAAATCTGGTCGAACATCTCAACTCTGAAATTAGCTTGGGCACGATCCAAGATGTCCAGACTGCGAAGAAATGGATTGGAGGAACATTCCTCAGTGTACGAGTACGTCAATCTCCATCGCTATATCACCTTGAAGATGTCCGCAATGCCGAAGACGCCGACAAGAGAATGGAAGAATGGTGCGAGCGTGATCTCAAGCTCCTACAGCAAAATGGGCTAGTTACTGGGCAAGCACCGTTTAGGTGTACAGAATATGGACATGCTATGTCAAGGTACATGGTCAACTTCGAGACTATGAAAGAGCTCCTATCAATTCCTCGGGGTGCGGCACTTCAAGAGACAGTAGGTTTGAAATATTCAATCTTTAATGCCTAGAGGCGAACTGCTGACCAAATTTATTAGCTCGCTACACTCTGCAAGGCTGGAGAGTTCAAAGACTACCGATTCAAGACTGATGAGCGCGCTGTATTCAGGGACCTGAATAAATCCCCTTTCATCCTCCATCCAATCAAGGAGACTTTGACGCAGACCTGGCATAAAATATTCGTCATGATCCAGGTCCACCTTAGGGGTGTGGAGCTGCCAAACGAAAAGGGGATTGGCCTTCTCAAGCAAAGAATTGCGATGGACAAAGCTGCTATATTCGATCGAATGAATCGCCTAGTACGCTGCTACGTAGATTGTCGCGCATTTGATGGAGACGGATTAGGTACAAAGATCGGCCTTGAACTCGCCCGTGCCCTCGCTGCAAATTCGTGGGAGAATAAACCATCACAGCTTTCTCAAATCCCAGGGTCTGGCCCTGTAATGGTTCGTAAATGGGTCAGCCACGGAGTCCATACAGTACTAGGACTCGCCGACAGGGACTTCGGTGAGATTGAGCGTATTTCAAGCAGGAACCCTCCGTACGGGATGAGGCTATTGAAGACTCTAGAAAACTTTCCCCGCTTGGCCATGGGAGCTAATATCATTACCAGCGCTGCACACTCGTCGCAGCAGGAACATAATGTGACAGTAATAGTGAAAGTCAACCTTCGCTATTGCAATACGAAGGGTATACCGAAGTGGAACGATAAAATACCAGCGGTGACATTCATGGCTTCGACAACAGATGGCAATCTTGCGTACCTTTGGCGAGGGAGTCTGAATAAAATCAACAAGGCTACCGGCCTAGATCTGAGATTCCCTGTGGCGATTAGCGGTTCAGATCAAAAAATATCTTGTTACTTCAGCTGCGAAGAGATTGTTGGAACCCAAGTCGCCAAAACACTAGAGCCTAATATACCCAAATCAGCATTCAAAAATAGAAAAGTCCAGTCAGTACAGCTCCAGACAGCCACTATAGAATCTTCAGAGGATGATATAGACTATGGAGATTTTTCCGATGAAGACATGTTGAATGCCGCCTTGAACTTAGTGGACCAGAATGGCAAGGCAGAGGCACAAGACCTTTCGGGCCCGCTGGATGATGCTGAAGATTTCCCACTTATCGACAATGTGTTAGCCCAAGAGAAGAGTCCCCTGGTCTCCGAACCTGCCAAGATGGAAAACGGAAGATGGATGTGTAACCACCTTTGTCGTAACGGCCGTCCTACCGGGGCGGGAAAGCCTTGTAATCACAGATGCTGCCACGAGGGGGTGGATAAACCTCGACCGCCACCACGAGATAAGAAGAGAGACAAAGGTGCCGTGGGAGACGAAATAGTTGAAGGCGACTCTGTCAAAGTCCTAGAAAAGCATTCAGAAGTCTTCCAAGCCAACAAGAATATCAATACTGACAGAACTAACGGGAAACGATTAGTAGGACCTATGTCTGCTACTCTTTCTGAGTCCCACGATGTGGGTGCTAAGAAAACGGCTGACACAACTCTACCTAACACAAAGAGAAAGCGCTCAACAAAAGATGGTAAAGGGGTGAGACTTGCTAAGAAAAAAAGCAAGGCTATGGATGATAGCCTAAACATGGATGTATCGGACATTGAGTGCATCGACCTCTCTATAATTCGGAATAATTATGAGACTAATTGCTTCCCCCCAAATTTATCGCCCTCCTACGGGATGGGTCAAAAAGCTCCCAATTTACTCTCAACTATGAACACTTCGAAAACCCGCCCCATGCTTGTTCCGGCCCAGGAATCCTTTGATAAGATGATAGAAGCTTCTGATAAAGCGAATGCGGCCTCGGGTGGAAGCGAAGATCAAATGCAGTATGATAGCGACATGTTTGACGATGAATTTCCCGATCTTCAAAGGATTATCGCATCTAAGAAGTTGAACAATGATAGAAAATCTCAAACAACATTGAGGAGAGATGAAACCCTATATCCTGGCAATGTTCAAGTCCTGAAAGAAAGCATGGATCATGGTTAGGAATCGAATCTTAGCTTTACTACAGTTGATGAGTTGCAGAAAGCGTCTGAACGCTTCGATTTGCCTTCGGTTAATTCTTCTAGCTATGCTACACACCGACAATTGAGCCCAACAACTCAGGAGATCTTAAGCCTCAAATCGAGTTCACCTGAATTAGACCAAGGTGAGGTCATTAATACTTCCTCAATTCAGGAAGTGAGTGATCGCTCACCCCTTTTCTTTGACTCGGACTCCTTTCAAAAATGCGAGAATACGGAGGGCTTCTCAGAGTCCAGTGCGGGAGAACCTGCTTGGTTGTCAGAATTCGACTCTGAGCTTGTGGACAGCCTCCGGGGCTGTGTAAACTTTGTGGATTAGGCTTAAAGGGAGGAGTAGTTGCCATAGCTACCTACGGATAGAATTATTCGCTTGTAAGCTGATCGCTTATTCTTACATGGTTGATTCAAGGGGAATCGGGTTTATGTGTTGAAGAATCTGTTACAACAGAAGCTTGCACAGGCAATTTTGCCAAGATATAATCGATGTGCGAGTATAATATACGTAAAGCTTCTAGCTCATAAACGAATTTTGCCCAAGTGTAGTTGGGGTCTACGATGGTTTGTTTGTGCTTTATCTAGGTACCTAAGGTAGGCAGAAACCCGCATAGCCATAGTGTGAATCCCTAGCAACAGACTAAGGCATCTATACAGTGAGGCAATAATGGTTGCCTGCATCGTATGCATATATAACTGGATCCTAATCCGGGACCGAGGAAAGCGTTTGCGAAGGTACCTGGATATCTGAGCTCCTCTTCTATTCCTCGTACGTAACCTTGCCTTCTTCATCATCCGTTTACGACATTACCACCGCCAGATACACATATAAGCTTGCCGCAAATCATAGCTTTAAGCCCTCCTGGTTTCTAATAGTAGCCTGTGGCTCTAGTACGAAATGGGTGTCTCACTTAAGCAAGCAGTAGAGTGGGAGGGTTCATTATACCATAACGACCTGGCTGCCCTAGTGTATTTTTCCACTGAACGAACTAAGGCCTGGGAAACTCGTCTAGAGGAGTACTATAAGCGGAGAGCAGTATTGATAGGAATCAAGATGGATGACGATCAGCTATTGCTTCGCTACAAGGAGAAGAAGTGTGCTGGCACCGAGTTTCACGGCTTCATGAGCTTACCTCGTGAGCTACGCGATATGATCTACAAGTATCTTCTCTATAAGGGCTCAGTTTTCTTACCAAGCTATCTAGGAAAATCAAGTGTTACCAACATTAAACACGCTTTTTATGATTTCGATATTAGAAGGTCCCATGGGGATAACGTACGGTATCGGGACTTCCCAAAAAACTTGCGCCTCAAGAAAAAAAATGTGATACATCCCATTGGGTTGATATGTGGTGTAAGCAAAGACTTTCATGGAGAGGCGACGGCTATATACTATGGCTGCAACCGTTTCGTCTTCTCCTACGACCACTTTGATTTACCAGTAGCTTTGTTTCATTATTATCGGCATATTTTTTGCCAGGAGAGGAGGCACCTCATACCACCCTTTATGCTTCTCCGTTACGTTAGCTTCACCTTCGACTGGCAAAAATTAGAGATGTCGTACCACGAATCTAAGACATTAAGGGAATATAAGGCATTATTGGAGTCAAGTGGGAATGAAATTCAGGACTCGGAGCCATTACAGCCGAGTGACTATGCGATATACTCCCACGATATGATGAGAGTAAATCTTCTGGAATCCTGGAACCATATCTTCGACGAATTGAAGGTGCTGGTACTCGCTCGATTAGAACTGAGCGTCGAGGAGTGCTATTGTCCGTCGCGGTGTTGTCGTTTAGTTAATGAAGTGCTGGATCGGCTCCGGTTTAATGCGCTACCCAAGATCATCGAGGTGATAGGGTGGTATGATGAAACTGAAAGAAAGAAAATTAAGGAGAGTCTAGATGGACTAGACAAGGAGAGTGTGTACCCAGACATTCGGTTTATTGGGAAGTCGATTATGGAGCTCAAGGCGGAATGTAAAGCTAATTCCTTTCTGTTTTGAGTTCTGGGCAGTAGACACATAGACATGTCTCGTTTGAGTTATACGGGTTGCTATTATTTTATCATATGTTAATGACAATAAACTGAATAATATACCAACCCACTAACAGGTACACAATCATGAAAATATTTAACTAAATTTGATTTAATAATGTTCTCTACTCGAAAAAACTAATGTAATAATGTAGATAGACTCTTATTGCAAATTCAAGGAGTGCACGTTTCGCCGCTTAGGATAATCCCAACCATCCCAACCCAACCCAACCCATCTACTCCGAAATCCGCATTGCACGTACGTAACAAATTATTCCACTTAGCTAGGGTCGCAGCCTCCTCCCTAGGACTTTCTAGCGACGCCCACGTCGTTCCAGGCCTTGCGGACGATAGCCGCGGCATCGTCTCCAAAGAGCTCTCCGGCCTTCTCCACCGTCACGTCTGCGAACTGAATAAAGGTGCAGCGGGAGGGGATCTGGCCGCTCTGCATCGTTTCCCACCAGACTTTGCCGGCTTTCTCCCATCTGTGCGATTTGTTAGTTACAGGTATAGACTAGGTGGTTAAGTGAATCAGGTACTTACGAGTAGCCGCCAAATGCAATGGAAGCGTTATAGAACGCCTTGTTCGGGATACCCGAGTAGAGATGCACGCCTCCGTTGTCCTCGAGTGTTAGCTTGTAATCCTTGAAATGGGCTGGCTGAGGATCTTTGCCCTAGTAGCAGTGAGTTAGTATTAAGTCTCCTTAGATTTCTAGTATGAGGGGGTTCTTACAAAGCGAGGGTCGTTGTAGGCTGTTCCGGGAGCCTTCATGCTTCGCAGAGCAACGCCCTTGACGCCGGGCATAAGACAGTATTCGCCGATCAGCCAGTCGGCCTTGTCGGCGGTTTCGTCCTCGACTCTCTGCTTGATCATGATGCCGAAGACGTCCGAGACGTGTTCGTTTAGGGCACCGCTCTGGCCCATGTAGTCGAGAGGCGAAGTGTGCTCGGTGACAGCGTGCTAGACAAGAGTTAACGACATCCCTGAAAATTCGCATGGGGTTATGTGTCTTACAGTTAGCTCGTGGCCAATGACGTCTATGCAGCCAGTGAAGTTGGTAAGAAAGTCATGTCCGTCGCCATACACCATCTGGGCAATCTCCGGATCCCAAAAGGCGTTTTCGTAGTTCTGTCCGAAGTGCACTGAACTTATGACGTGCATGTTCTTGTTGTCGATCGACTTCCAGTTGAATATATCGGCATAAAAGGAGAGCACAAGGCCGGCATTGTCGTAGGCCTCGTTGGCAGACTCGTCTTTAGTAGCCTTTTGGCCTTCTACTCGGACTACTTTGCCGGGGAGATGGGCTTCGTTGGAGTCATGGTTGGCATCGTACACGGCACGATAAGTTTTCTCAGTAGTCTTCTCGGCTTGCTCGGTAGTTATATCGGCCTTCTGATCGGACGACTCTGCACGAAGGCCCTGGGATTCTTGGTACTTGGCGTGAATACCTCTAATATGCTCCAAATCCCGTTTAGCGCAAGCGCGGGTGTCATCGTCAACATCCTTATTGTCGGCAATGTGCTGAAGCATGTGGTCGGGCACTATGCCCTGTCTCTGATGAATGTTAGTAGCCCTGCTACCGCGAGGCGCGCAGAGTGCTGCAAAACGCTTTTCTCGTTTGTCACAGTAACTCTTGTGGAGGGTGAGCGCATTTCGGGCAGACTCGCGGATTTTGTCCTCGTTGTTGCTGCTGTCGGCAATAGCGCTGAGCATGTAGGGCGGGACTACGTAGCAGACAGAGTGGTGGTTGCGGGTGGCCATCTTGGAAGTATTGGATAATGATAGTTTGTGGATAGGTGTGAGTCTTGAGTAGAGACGGAATAGGGGCATGTAGGAATATAGAGAAGATAGATAGAGTAGATGAGTTGAAAGACGAAGACGAAGATGAATAAATATATAATCTTGACACAACAGGGACTCGTAGGCTCGAGGTTCTAGAGTAAAAACTTGAAGTAGTAATACGAGGTTAGTCGGATATCGATATTGAAAGTTATGTCACTAGGTATAACATCAAGACTTTTAGATCATGGATATATTCTAGGAATGGAGCTAGGTTTCCTTGGAACTCTAGCGCCACAGTGACTTTAAGTAGGTACGAAGAGTATAGACATGTAGATCATAAGACGGCAGGCAGGCTACACGAAGGATATTGCCTTGACGTGTTTGTTATACTCTAGCTACCGTAGATACGAGACAGGCATGAACAACATAAGGGCAGCTGCATCATGAGATAAGGATATCGGCGAAAGCACAACCAACATCACTTGTAAAGTACTAGGGTATGACCTGGCTTACTGATATAGCTGTATGTAAGACTAGTATATCCTATTCCCGAGATAGTTTGGTTTAAATCAGGAATACTTACCTCATAGTAGTCTATCTAAGACTACTATTACCGGTATCATGGCCCGTTGTGGTCTACCGAGAAGGGTATATCAACTCCCGTTGGTATAGCATAAGGTATAGCATGAGGTATCAGCACTGGGCTTAGAATACAAGACGCCGCCTTGTTACTACCGTAGCCAATCATAGCTAACCCTTGCCTCGAACCTGTCCGAATATGGTCAGAAGCCTAGGGCAGGCGTGGGGAGTTTTCGTCATGCAGGTTTATTTCTGGAACAGGAACAAACAAGGAAATAGTATTTTCCCCCGAGTGTTCTTGCTACACCTGGCCTGGTACACCGGCTACGCCCGTCTATTAGTCGTGCGACAGGAATTACGAACTATCTCGTTTCATGACGACGGGTGTGACTTTGAAGTTACGAGGATGACCTGAAGAGGTAGAGTAAAGAATTCAACTATGGTCCGCATGAAATAATAATCTCGTGATGGGAGTTGGTTGAACAGGGGGTTAAAGCAACGTAATGATATATGTATACCTAATTCAAGAAATGTGATCACGGCGCGTCGTTACGTGTCAAGGTGTTTGTCAATGTGTGTTGAAGAACAAGAAAAGCGTTTAGAACTTGGAAGTGGTACGTAAAATCCCGTAAAATGCCCCATAGATCCACTAACTTTATGGATACAAGCAGTAGACAGGGCAGTGGACAGGGGACAGGGGGCTATTGGTGGGTACCTTTATAGGTGGAGTTAGTACAGTTTACCATTAGTTTAGTGGCTTGTTGCTTTATGTAAGCGCTTTTCTAGCATTTACCTATAGAGCATCTAACGCGTCATCGAGATCTACCTATTATTCAATTCACATATGTGCATCAATTTAGAATAAGAAGAATATCATTAAAATAACATAAATAAATTATACTTAACAACCCATTCTGCTCACCCAACGTTGGCGGTTAGAAACAAACAAGCTCGCTGACTGAGGTCGAGGTCAGCTGGTATTTATTCTTATCGTCGTTACATTCGCCCTCCCTTACGGCTTTGACGGACAATGATATATAGGTATACATCAGCTACCCAGGCTGACAGAAGCGGATATACCGTTAAGTATGATCTGGTATCATACCAAATAGTGAACAGCAGGCCTCCTATCTTGGGTCAATAGGGGGGTTACCTAATGTAGTAGTGGTGCCTGAAGAGGTACTTACCTAATTTAAGTTAGTATGTTTTGGTGGGAATAGCCTCATTTTGCATATGAGTATCACAGGTCGCAGTTCGCTATCATAAGGGGAAAGAAGGTGCAAGCACCAAGAAATGAAAGTGTCACCCTTAGATAAAAGTATAAAAAAAAAGAAGATGAAGGGTAAGAGCAAATGTGTATGATGATGTAGTACGTAGACAGGACGTTCCTCTCTCACAATGTCTAACCATTGTACGCCTTCTATCGTCTCAAAGTTCTCAACTCATTTTATTCTATAATCTCAATTCCCCTGACTATAACCAAAGCCTCATACTACTTAATTGGTGCTATTGGAAATAATTGGAGGTTTATGAAAATCATTGCGATTCACTCACTCTCGTTAATCATCAATTCAGCTGCCGTCTCTCTTTACCAACCAACCCCTTTTTGTGTCCCACCAAACGACTTAATCCAGCCTCAAGAATAGTTGTCGAGAAGACAACACGATGTATTTACTCTCTCTCTTCCTCGCTTACTCTACTCTCGCCTCAGCTACGACATACTTCCTCACCGTCTTCGCCCCGGATACCGAGGTCGACGGCGCGTTGCTAAATGCTGCTGCTCAGGGCTTCTACGCTGGTATCTCAGGACCCGAAACCTACTGTCCTAAGGGCATCTCGTGTCCTGATGTACAGGGATCTCTAGTATATGATGGCTTAACCGGAATGGCTGTGAGTCCCCCTTCTTGATCGAGCATCGCCATTTACCTAACTACTGCCGCCACACCTTCTCTTTACTCACATATCATTCACCTACAGGTTGAAGTCCCCGGCGGCCAAGCCATCTACGTCGCGCCCTCAGGTCAAATAGAATACACACAGGCGCACTCAGCATACGAGCCAGCAGGTTCGTTAACAGGAGGTTGGTTCCACAAGACAGTCTTGTCAGATTGCGATCCCACTCGCGATGTGCTCGACTTCTTACCCGTCGACGGCTCCAGCACCGGCGGCATTAAGCTATGTCCCCAAGTCGAGGAATATATGGCCGGCACAGGTGCTAGCTACCGCTTATACGCTGGGACAGCCGCCTTTAATCTGTCCGGCTGCGTTGATGCCGTTGGCCTCAACTTGCATGGCGTTGCGGCCGATTACGGGTGTTGGCAGTACGCCTAACTCGAATCTGAGAGCCGTTGTCATCCTGGCATTATGCTTGTTATTCTGGACAACGATATGTTTGGGGGAGGAAAAATTAATAATTACACCAGCTTGGAACTATGTATATTTATTTCCCGAGCTTCTGGATGCAGATACTATTGCGAGATTTTGCTGAAGTAGGCTATTAATTAGGTACATGTCCTCTTTATGGATTTATTGTTTGGGACGACTTGGTACGATACTGTAGTAGTATGAGGAAATAATTTGGAAGGGGAACCATGGAAACAAGGACGCTGTTCTAGTTTTTTAGTTATATGTCGACAACTTGGTCGTTCCAGTTAGGTATACAGCGAGAAGATGAATGCATATCAATCCGAGTCTATTATATTACAATACCACCATCACTCAATCCAGTAGAACCTCGACGTCAAACTCCTGATCTGTCCTCAGCTGGTACTCCGGCAGGGTCGCAGGTCCACAACTCCCTGTACCCAGACCGTGGTGATACCAGTCCAACCTGACAATATGATCATCCCTCTTCCTCTTGCGTAGCTCGTGCGGGTGCTTACATTCATCTACATCGCGTGTGCTATACGGCGTCACACTAAAACTCGCACCTTGATGTTCCCCAAACCTTGCCCGTAATAGACGATTTGGGTATTCGTCCTCGCCACCCCACCGCGTCCGCAATTCAACCCACCGAATATCCGTGCGGTTGCCACTGTCCTGTGGGAACTCGTAGTAATTGAATAGCGCGTCGGCAGCCCAGCCCCACGTGTTGATCTGCTGCGCGCGCTTCTTGTCGATGTATGATTCACCCGGACCCCGGCCGAACCATTCTACGACGCGGATGTCGCGCAGCCCGAAGGATAAGCCGAAACGCGCGAATGTGGTAGGGAGGAGAGCGCCGCTGGGTTTGGCTTGCACGCGGATGCGGCAGTGCTCGGAGGTTAGTGTGTAGGTGATTGTTGTGTCGACGGCCCAGGCTAGGACGGGGGGAGCCACACGTCCTTTTACGACGACGATGCAGCCGGATTCTGTTTCGGTGGTGGTTATTTGTGAGAAGTGGTGGCGCGTCTGGTGGACTCTCCGGTCTATCCATTCTTTGCCGTGGGGTCCGCCGTGATCGTTGTCTGTTAATGCGCGGTAGAAATCGAGGGTTAGAGGGACGGTTATTATGTTGTGGTCGGGGTTGGAAGTGTGTGTTAGCGAGGATAACGTGCCGTTGCCGGTGTCGAAGCCGAATATGCTGCCGGAGCGAATTGTCACGTAGAGCATGCCGTCTTTACGCTGAATATGCGGGCGATCTGGTGCGGAGATGGTCTTAAGGAGAGTGAGGGATGGCGGTGGGGTTAGGGGGAGTTCGCCTCGGGCTACGACTCGTCCGGGTGTTACCCATTTACTCCCGGCATGCGCCATGAAATCCAACTCGAGCCATGTGTTTGTAGAAAGAGTCTTTGGCAAGCCTCCGAGGACCAACGTTGCTTCGGTATGCGGCTTAACCCCTGCTGGAATGAGGATTTCGTTTCCAATCATCTGTTGCCGGTCGGAAACGAGACTCCAATAACACTTGAGATGGTCTAGAGTTAGGAAGTCATAACGGTTTACAATCGTCACTTCGTTGCCTTTTACGGCGAGTACCTGGACCGGTTCAATGGCTTTACTGTATTCGGTGAGGCCTGGGCCTGGGTTATGTAGCGAATCGCAAAGTCCGTCCATAACGAAGTTGCCGTCGTGGGGCTCATCAGGTTGGAAATCACCACCGTAACCAAAGAACTTCTCGCCGTCTTCAGTTTCAGTGAGAAGACCCTATATGATAGCTTGTTAGTTCGAATGTAGTAAGAACTAAATCAAGTCGATATGTACTTACGTGGTTTGCCCACTCCCATACAAACCCTCCCATTAGTCGTGGATATTTGTAGAATGCCTCAATATACTCTTGTACGGCGCCCGGGCCATTGCCCACTATAACATACGTCAATAATATAGCAAGGGATAAACTTCAATATTACTCACTAGCATGGGCGAATTCGCACATAACGAAAGGTTTCTTCCAATCCTTTTCCTGTGCGTGTTTAATCATCTCATCAACGGATGTGTACATTCGACTAAAGATGTCTGCCGTCTGGGCTTCTTGGTCGCCCTCGTAGTGTATAAGACGTGTTTTGTCGATCTTCCTGATGGCGTCGTACATTGCCTGGTGATTACTGCCGTAGAAAGCTTCGTTTCCAAGAGACCATATGATAATACTTGGATGGTTCTTATCACGCGTCACCAGTTGTACCGCGCGATCTACATAGGCCTCTTTCCACTCGGGATTGTTAGACGTGAAACTCGCTGGATCACCACCAACTTCGCCGAAGCCGTGACATTCGAGGTCAGCTTCATCTAACACCCAAAACCCCATCTCGTCCGTAAGATCGTATAGTCTGGGGTCATTCGGATAATGGGACGTGCGGATAGCATTGATATTGAATGATTTCATCAGCTGGAGATCATATTTCATATCTGCGTATGGGACCGTCCTTCCGGATTGCGCGTTATGCTCATGACGATTTACCCCGCGGATCTTGATCGGCTTGCCATTAACGCAGAAGACGCCATCGATAAGTTCGGTTCTGCGAAATCCGACTTTTTGAGAGATGTACGTAGAACCAACGGATAATACTAATGTGTATAAGTAAGGTGATTCTGCCGTCCACTTCTCGGGAGTTTCGATCAGATACTCGTGTTTGCACTGTTGCGCCTGTATTGCGTGAGAATCGGAAGCTACTGTTTTGCCTTCGCGATCGAGAAGCTTGAATGTGACAGTTTCGTTGGTTTTGTTCAGCTTAGTGTCTATCGTGAGCAACCCATTCCTGTAATCGTCGTCGAGGAGTGTTTGAATATGGAAATCTTCAAGACGAGCAGAAGGAAAGGAATGTAACCAAACGTCTCTAAAGATGCCGCTAAGCCACCATTGGTCCTTGGAGTAAAGTCAGAGCTGATAGAGATTATGTGTTCTATATATTAAACATACCTGATCCTCGATATAGCTTCCGTCACATCGTTGATAAACCTCGACGCAAAGTGTGTTTTCTGAATCGGGTTCAAGGAATGGCGACACATCGAATTCGCTTGGATTTCTCGAACCTTGCGAATAGCCAACTTCTTTCCCGTTCAACCAGACAGTAAACGCCGAATCGACACCCTCAAATCGTAACCGCCACTGATCCCCATCCTTAAGTCTATCCGGTACCTCGAAGCGCGTGATATACCGCCCGCATTCGTTGTCGTCGTATGGGACGTGCGGAGGATTTACTGGAAAGGGGAAGTTGACATTTGTGTACTGTGGACCTTTGCCAAATCCCTGGAGTTGCCACATGCCAGGTACCTTGATGAGCTTCCATTCCGTGTGGTCGAAGTCGGGTTTATAGAAGTCTCGGGAACCCTTAAAGGGACCAGGAGATAATTCAAATCCCCAAGTACCGGAGAGTAGAGCAGCCCTGGATCGGCTCACATCGCTAGAAAGAGCATCCTCTTCATTGTTATAAAGATGAAAATGACTCCGAGGTGAGAGAGTATTTCGACGAATGACTCTAAGATTATCCCAATAGGGTGTTTGTTCTGGTTGAACTTCAGTTTCGTTTATTTTAACTTGGCTGGAAATCGAAGATGTAATTGGTAATGATTCTTGACTATGACTGAAACTAGAGCTCGTGACATGCAAGTCCATATGAATGCTGGTATCCTGGCGGATTACCAAGTCAACCTCATTAGAAGAGGGCTTAGAAGTATTTGAAGGCATAGCGAAGGATCTAACGACCGGGATTATAAATTTTAAACAAAGTACTGCTAAGTTAAACCCGACGGAACTTTTATCTTATGACCTCGATTATAAACTAGGTAGCGAATGAGATGCGATCGCCTCATAAATCAGATCCAGCGAAATGGATGATATTAGGTGAAGTAAGGAATTCAGGACTTAGATAATTTCATATTATTGATTTCAGTAGGAAATAACGAAGATAGGTATTATTCTGAAAGATAACTCTGCCGCGGCATCAACCGCTTGAATGATAGACTGACTGTCTTGAAAGTGTTGGAAGGTTGGGGATAGCGGTATGTTCGCCTGAAATTAGAGTGACGTAGGCTTCTAGCTCGCTAATTGGCTCGGATTGTCCCGCGCTCATGTGGAGGTTGGGGATTTGAGGTTCGAGGTTCGAGGTTGGAGACCGAGCGTAGAATGAGACCAATAATAGTCTTATACCAACAGTTAATCACTGAAGCTTAAAATATTCAATAAGTTTGTAATGTGGTCAGGGTAGTTTTTAATATTTATTATCATTTAACGTCGTTATTTCTTTATGCACTTTTTACTATGCAATGTTCTAATGGGAGGAGACTGCACGGCGCCTAGGCTTCTACTTTACGACTCTACACATCTGTTGAAATGGCCATGTAATCGCCCGTGAGGGTAGACTGTATCATTTACCAATTACGCCATTGAACCAGAGAACGCCGTTGGCCAACCGGAATGTTTTTAACTATAGGATCGTTCCAAATCTTTTCGATGTTAGCATGTATTCAAGAGCCAAAATACAAGTGGTATCAAGGATGCGAACTTACCCGAAAGTCTTCTTGATGCTCCTCACATAGTACTCTTGCCAGTTGCGCTTAGTCACCTCTTCCTGACCTACTGGCACGCCACTCCAGGTGACCCTCATCACGGTTACGCCGTCTACATCATTCTGGTCGAACTCAATCACTTGTTTAGAGTAATGGCCGGCTGGCCATTGGTTCAGCCGCCACGTCTGGGCGATCTTGGTCGGCTCCTCAAGTTCTTCGTATTCGCCGGAGACATTGCCGTCGAACAGCTCAAACTTGCCACCTTTTTGGGCCCCATCAAATCTCTTTGGAGGTGCACGAGTGAAGGCAGCTAGTCGTTGCGGGTCGGTAAACGTCTGGTACAACTCGGCAGCGGTAGTTCGGAACTCCTCCTGATCAGTTACCGTTGTCGTGTTAACGACGCTACCACTGTTCTTCTGGGTGCTGGCACCAGCATCGGCCTTCGGTGTAGCACCAGAAGGCACATGGTATTTAGGCGCAGTAAATCCACTCGATGGATTTGTGCCAGCAGCGTGTTGGATATCCTTACCATGTTCGGCAATCAAAGCAGGTGTAAGCTTCGCGAATTCCTTCCGTAGCTGTGGTGTGATCTTGGAGCGAACTAGATCCTTTACCGGTTGCTTTTCCTGCGACTCCGAGTAGATATCTATGTCGAACTTTTTTTTTCGACGTTAGTACTAATCGTGATTGCTACGCTAACTATAGGATACCTACAACAAAATCATCTTCCTCAGTATCATGGGCAACTTCGGGCACGGTGATAGTACCCGAGACGCTCTCTTCTCCGGGGGCAGCTCCTGGTCCAAGTTAGATGGATTCCCGCTCACCAATACTCGTAGCAGTTAGCTTACCAGAGTATTCTAAGACGAGCTTAACGTCGTAGATGGTAATGACTTTGCCTTTCCGTTGGCTCACGTCAACATCCCCGTCCATGCTGACAACTTTATTAATCTTGGCAGTGACCTCTCCATCTTCAGCCGAGATCTTGGGTAGATTCTCTTCGAACCATTGCCTAGTCCATTCACCGGCATTCTTGCTGACCCAATGCCAGTTGTTTGGGTTGTGGAGAACCATGGTGGATTTTGGAGAAGGATAATTCGCACGAAGCTTGGATTTGGTTGAAAAAGCTAAAGAGACGAGGCTGTGTTAGCAATCGTCAATTTAATGGGAACAATCGTAAGTTGAAAGTAAGTAAAGAGTAGTTAAATGAGTTTATATCAGATATGAGTCTCAAGGACTACAGCTATTGGTCATCAAAGAAAGGGAGTACAAGTCGCTCTATGACTGGTGCCAGCTGGTGTATCATCAGAGATTTCACAAACGGTGAAAAATGTGAAGAAGGTAGAAATAAATAAAAAGGTGAAGCTTACTGATGACAGATGGACGGGATATTGTTGACTACAGAATCAATCTGCAAGCATATCTGACGAATTGAATAGAAGAAAATATCGGCATGAAGGGCACCCGGCCGACAACAAAAAGATTGTTGTAAGGTTCCAAGGTTAGAAGAAAATGCAGCGGAAAGCTCTAGAATTTCGACGAAGTTTAGGTCCAAGATGAAAAGATTCTGCCAATAAGAGTGGATAGCCTATGTTCGGCAAAATATCGGTCCGTGAATTTGTGAACTTAAAAAGTTGTGCATTATGTAATTCGAGGTAAGCAATATATAGAGGGCTGTATCGAGGCGAGCCCCGCATCAAATTACATATTCTTACCTCATCCGTACTTGATCACTTCCATACCAGCAACTAATCTTGGAATATATTTAACATAGAAGCTGCTGTAGCATTTACCACTTATATATGTCACATTTACAAATCATCACCTATTAATGAGAATCACTATCAAGATTGGTCCATCAGACGAGATTAAGCTTTGTAAAATCTCCTAAATTGCAGAGCACCCGAGATGCGTGAGAGGTGATACGATACGAAATATGTTCTGGTTCGCAGACAACCACCAATAATTATCACCTCTCAATTCCGGATGTTACATGCCACTGCACTTCTACTTCTACCAAGAAGTCAAGCTTTGTGAAACTAAAGACAATATATTAGAATTACTAGGAGAGCTAGGTTCTAGCCCCTAATTCTACATATGCAACTCGGGTTACATCTGGACCCTCAATCAACAAGCGTCGACATGCTTATATTATTGTCGTACATTAGGTATTTTATTGTCCTCGGCGTATAATTAGATACTTACCTCTATGTAAGACGTTGCCTCTCAATGGGGCGGATTCAAAGTTAGACTCTTGTAGTTTGCAGTAAGAACCAACCACCTCGAGGTCTCATCTTCGGGTCGGCTTCTATCCGCTTTTAAAGTATCGAATCGAATCAGTTAAGGAAATTCATTCGTTTCCAAAATTTCCACGTGAAAAACGTACCACGGCTATAACGGATCGTATACTATTTATATTAGTCGGTCCATGCTAATGAATAGTCGGACTATCCGTACCTGGCAGGTCCTCTACCGGGGGGATCAGGATGCGGGGTGACTTTTCTCGAACTACTTTTCTGGAATCACCATGAGCATATCTAAAACATACGAATATGTAGTCTAACTACAAATGGACTTCCGTACAGTTAGACTCGGTGATTCTGAACATTCTACTGTATATCCTGAATCGTATTCGAGTTTACATCCTTGATGCACATCTGCTAGCTACAATATTTGGTGTGTTGCTCTGCAGCGGGAAGCAGATTTCGTCGACGATCAATGCATACATCAGACAATATTCACCTCTTTATATGTATGCACGAACTATCTAAGGTAGGTATCTAGGTAAAGTATGAGGATAATTGTTAGCCCTACGAAGTACACCATGATTTTATACAGATTAACAAGAACAGAATAGCTTTCCCGACTGGTGCAGGTAGAGATCCAACACAAAAGAATGGACCAATCACTTTCCATCCCAAAGTGGAGAGTTCTTCGAAAGCTGCAACTCTTAAGCGCCCGCAGACCAAAACCACGAGGAAGAAGAAAAACTTGACCAATAATATGTGATGATGGGTTTCCGTTTCCAAATATAGACAGAGGCCGACCCACAGATTCAACCAATAGTTTGCTATTGTTCAAAAATACCGAGTTTGAAGTACCGGGCCCCCCTAATCCCAAGTTAGTCGGCCCACCGGGACCGCCCTTCAGCACTTCCTCGATGCTTTGCAGTCCTACCAAATTCCTCATTCGCTCGTTCAACTGCATCTTGATTAAAAGCACCCTCAATGGTGCACATGGGGGGTCCATTGGCATGCAAATGTGAGGGAATCGGCTTGGTTTAATCATGCTAAGGACATTTATAGATGACATATAAAAATGAACTATGTAGAGGCTCGTACAGGGGAGGATCTTCTAACAAAATCCTACAATGGTCGAGATTCGGAACTTATGCAGTGCTATTAACTAGGCTGTTACATCGGGTAGTATACGATGTATTGTCTGCAGTTTAGCATCTCGATTTGCCAAGACGAGCCTTAAGACAAGACCTACCATAGTACTCAAACACTAAAGGGGGAAGGGGTAAAACATCGTACGGTTCCTCCTTGTTATATGTACCCAACTAAGGTAAGAATTTGTGTAAACGGATAAGATCAAGGTCGCGTCCGTTTCTCTCGGAATTTACCTACGCCCATCAGCCATTAACCAGTTGATGAGCCTGTGCAGCCTATGCAGGCATCCAGGGATCTGCCAAGAGAACGCCCCATCCCCCACGTCTTTAGACCAGGGGATCTAGGATCATCACCCTATCCAGTCCATCCATCACTTTTTATCTTTTACACCCTCTTCTCCCACATCGCACAACATCTTCTCAGCCGCGCCTTTACCATATCCGCCGGCCTTTATATATTCCTTCGCCCCTATACAATTTAAAGAATATCGGGTCATGGGAGTAATTGGTGACAAGACAGTCTCCCATATCCTCGGCTGAAGGTCGAACAGGCGAAGGTAACGCAATAAGCGTCGACCGCCAGTCCATTTAGGATATAAACATAAAGGGCATTTAATTAACGTCCCGCCCGCGCCAGTATCCATCCCGGACCTCCCTACTGTTGCCCTACCCGCGCGCCTTTATTGACACGGGCTACGGCCGCTATAAGTGAAATGATGATGACCAGTCCGCGCGATGGTACAACCTCTCGACTTCGCCAGGCTCTTAATCCATTGCGGACGACAGCTCTCGGGGGTTACCATAATCAGCTAAACACGCCGCATTCTGCCGTGTCAATTACTTCGTCGCATACTTATGCTGGACTCCAAACGCCAGCCAGCTCAATACAGCCCTACAATCCTCAAGAATGGGCGCCTACTTCTGCGGTGGGCCCTGAGCGAACGCATCATTATCCTCCGCCGTTAACATTAAATCCACAAGGTAAGCCACTACTCATCTGATGATACTTCGAGTCGTTACGCGGTGAAAGTAAGCTGACGGAGTCGAATGCGCCAGTCCCGGCGCCACCTCCACCTTATTCCCCTCCCCGGAGTCAAAGGCCGAATAGTACGGCTCATGAGACGCCGCCGGCAAATATCTCTGCTGCGCGAATTCCCGCTTCAAGTGTTCATCGTCCTTCACCAGAGCCACCAAACAACCAAAGCTTTCCTCCCCCGCCGGGCTCAAATGGACGTGGCGGCTCTCGTGAGAGGCGTTTTGGCCTACCGTCGTTAACGAGGCGGAGAGACCGAGGCACTCCTGAATCCATATCACCCCCCGATTCTCACCCTCCTACTTCATTATCCCGGCCTCAAACCTTAATGATTCAGGTTCCTAGTCCTCTAAATTCAGCAGAAAATAATGTCCCAACCATACCTCCTAACTCCCGCAGAGCAGCATCGGCGAGTGCGGTTGAGACCCCAACGTCAGCTCGGTCCAGATCGGCGTCGCAATCAAGATGGGAGCCCGGTATGCCTCTACCTCCACCACCTCCGGGCCCTCCTCCTACCCAGTCTAGATCTCAAAGTCTCAATAGAACCAGTGAGCCTGTTGTTTCTCCTCCTACTAGAAGACCACCTCCTAATGGAGTAACTGCGCTCGGGCCTGTCCCGCCAACCCCCGCCGACTGGGTAAATGAAGAGCAGCAAGGACGTGGTAAATCACCGAACCCAATGGGGTTAACTATTGATACTGCCGCTGCCGCTGCATCTAGCCCTCCGGCTGTCCCCGATTCGGGCTCCGGATCTGGCTCTACAAGCGCCGGTCTAAACCGGACGGGAGCCGTTCGAGGTGAAAAGTCCTTGCGCGAAAGACGGAACGAGAGTCGGACGCGACAAAAAGCAGAGGATGGGATCCAGCCTTTATCTGACATTATAGTTCCTAATGGGTCAGGTTTATCCCGCAGATTTTCAGTTCATAAAGGGACGCCTCGAAGCGGTGGTAAAACAATAGCCGACGTGCCAAGATCTGGGGATGACGCCAACATGGATTCTAGAAATTCGACGCCTCGTCCTTCTGCCGGACTACATCCAGAGACACCTACGCCGCCCTTTTCCCCACGTCCGCAAAAGGCTTATCCCATCGCAGAGCCGGGCCATCCCATCGCCCCGAAAGCTCTTCCTACACCACCACCACAGAGTCGATCAGCTTCCAACTCCTCTCAAGCACGACCCGATATACGTAGCTTGATGAATGGTATTTCGTCGGCCGATTCTACTTATCCCACTACTAAACAAGCCGTAGTTGGTCAGACAGCAGAGCAATTCTGCAGGAGCAGCATAGAGCGTTTCCAAGCTTTCGCCAACCATGAAGCAGTTGCAGAGTCGGATGCTGAGCGGGTAAAGCTATTTGCTGATTTCATAGTCAACGAGTCTAGATTACGTCGCGAAAGATATGCATCGGCGATCGGAGCGATGGGTTCTGAGATCTTCGATCTCACGCGGGATTTATTCCGGCCTATGAAAGTGCGGCGCGACTCAACGAATTCACAATCTGGAGAATGGACACCGCAGATGTCGGAACCAAGATCGCAACGGAACTCAATGACTTCTGTTTTCCGTGAACAAATACAATCCAACTCTGCGCCGCCTTCTGCCAATATCCCAACCTCAAGTTCGCCTATTAATGGACCTACGAATGGGAATTGGGCTTCGCAGTACATGCCATCATTATCACCGATTCTTAGTATGAGCGTCAGTGAACATTTAGATGGGTCAAGCTCACGGGGCCGGCCAGCAAGTCGTTGGTGGGAAACAGAGTCGGGCGGCGGAGAATCGAACCGAATGGAAAGAACAAAACGCGAGTCTAAGTATATGGGTGTGCCAAAAGAGGCACGGGAAGCCCTACAATGGGAGGATGAGCCAGGTACTGCAGATAGCCATGCAGGGTCGAGCAAGCATTACTCGGAGAACGAATACCCCCCTGAAAAGGTTGGGTGGCACGAGTCGAAGGAGTTGAGTACGCCTCAGCCATTACGAAATTCTCTCTTATCCATAGGTTCATCGGCACCGAATACTCCTAGCCCTTCTCATGTAGATGTATCACGACTAGTAACGCTACCACCACCTTATCCACGACATCACCCCGCAGTAAATAATAACCACCCAGAACTAGCATCTACTCGTACAAGGGTGAGGTCGCTAAGCGATATGCAAGAAGTCCAGGCGACGAAGGAACGATTTATACTCGATAGCCAGAGGGTGCGCGAAGAAGCTGTCCAGGGAGCTTCTTCAAGATTAAAATCACTACGTGCAAATCTTCACCAGGAGATCAGCGCTGGCAACATGTCATACGCCGAAGCAGCCGCCATCGAGGCTGACACGCAAGCATCTGAAAACGCAAAGGCAAAGGAGATGGAAAAGCAGGAGTTCGATCGATTTCAGAATGCAGTTGTCATGCCACTTAATGAGCTACTCACAGGCCGCATCGCACAGGCTACGTCACTATTTGACGAACTACGTTCGCGTCTTTTCGTCGAGACCCAAGCGCCCAATCCTAACATGCCACAAGAGGAAGGCGACGAGCAACCAGAACTCCTCGAGAAATTAACCCTGCTCAAATGGATCTTCGAAGCCCGCGAGATGCTACACCGCGAAATATACGACTTGCTGAGCGATCGCAATAATCGGTACAAAGAGATGGTGATCACCCCGTACCGACTCTCCGGCAACGAGGAAAAGCTACGGACAGCGGAAGCCTTCTTCGTGGACGACGCATGTAAGCGACAGCGAGCATTTGCGGGCGAAGTTCTACAGCGAACATGCGAGTTTCGGGACGTGGTAGAGGAGAATGTGACACGAGGTGTCGATATGCAGCTTAACGCGTTTTGGGACTTAGCACCGCCCCTTCGACGACTACTCGATAAAATCCCAGCATCGGTTGACGGACACTTCCGCATCCAGATCCCGCCTGCTGAGTATGATGAGAACCCTAGCTACCACAGCCACCCGCTACAGTACCTGTTTAGCCTGCTGCTACACGCCGAAAAGAGCACGTACCAGTTCATTGAGTCGCAGACGAATCTATTGTGTCTACTACACGAAGTCAAAGAGGCAGTAATGAGTGCGCGTGCGAGAGTAGGCGAGGCGGAAGGTCACGACCCGCGTGCCATTGAGGAGGAGCGTGCGGCAGAACAGACGAGGCTCACGGACGATCTCAAGGAGAAAGTGCGCCTTGTGCAAGACCAATGGGAGAGCGCCCTTGGCGAGGCCATGAAAGGCGTCAAGGAGCGCGTGGGCGAGTGGCTCCTGTCGACAGGAGGTTGGGACGAGAGTCTCGAGGACGGCGGAGTCGGCGGCGTATAACCGCACTCTTTTTTTAACTTGGTGAAGCGCTAGACAAAGGTTCCAAAAACAACGAGAAAAAAGTTCTAGGTGGGAGCGTTGGTGTAATGAATTGAATCATGTGTGCGCAGCTGAAGACTTGTGCTTGATTGCTTGTATGATACCCCTTTTAGCTAATGGCGGATATGACGATTATATGATACGGCCGTTTTTGTTTACTCTTTGCGGCTTTGGAGTGAGATGGGATCTAGAGGGGTGTCTATCTTTATGAGCTGGTGGATCTATATACTTAAATATAAATATTAAATGTTATCCTGCCTCTGAATCTATATCTATGTGAATTGATCTAGCACCAGTCCTTAAAGTCGAGAGATGGTGTCTACACTAAAGTTGTATTTCTAACCCATCAGAATAATCGCAAATATTAAGGCTCGTATTTGGCCAATAACCGCTCGTTTCATCTAGTTAACAAACAATAGGCCAATTAGGGGCAATATAAGGCAAAGAGATCTTATCAAGAATGAATCCAGATTCAGTTACCGATCAATAGAAATCATATATGCAGAAATCACATTATTGCTGCCTAACTTTAGACTCAGGCTGACGATATCTCCGAGCGATCAGAGATTGGGGAGATCGAGATATTAATCTGCTGCACCGGGGAATATCGGAACTGCAATGCTTACACTTCTTCATGAAGTAATCACTATTTTCTCCACAACCGTGGGCGACATGTTTGATTGAGAGCTAATGGAGGGAGACAACTTATATTATAGGAAAGGGGAGTCAAATAGGACACAATTTCGAAACTCATAAGCGATTGGATTTCTCTTCTTTCAATACCGAAACATAGAGACATTTCTAATGAATCCTGTAGAGTGAAGTAGCTATTAAGCTAATCTTGTCATTGTAGAAGATGACTTTGCGCGCGTTGCGCTGCGAACCCCCTATTCTACCGTGCTGGGGAAAAGGTAAACCATGATACTGCTGACAACGACAGGGTCATATCTCTAGACCGCATCTTATCTTGTTAAACTATTTCATAGTCTAGCTTTCTTAACTCTTATTTATCGAACATATTGACTAATTCCTACTACGCTTGAGCTTTAGAATTAATGTCCAGGCAGAACAAAAGCTTACTAGGAAGAAATAGCAAGTAAAATATCCAGTTCAAGTTGTGTCTGGCAAGAATAAAGCACTGTCAGGCTCAACGAGGAATTTATTAAGGCGGTATGTTCTCAAGCTCATTTCGTCCACGGTATGAGCAGTAGGTGGATTTCTCGAGTAGTGGTGACCATGCTTGTGTGGGGTTATACTGAAGAGGTCAAATGAATGTTAGTCTCCATTCTTGGGAACATGATTATAGAACTTGAAGCTGTTGGTAGAAGACGACATGCCCGTTGCAAATTGCTATATTAGAACCCATAGCCACAATGCCGCATCAAAGATAATTCGAATTATTAATATTAATATAGTATAGTTATTGAGAAGGAATGTGATTGGTGGTGGTGGTTGAGCCAGAAGAAAAACGTAAATCATGAATTATCTTTTGGAAAAATCAAGGAATATATATACTACCCTCAGTGAAGTATGTAAGGGTTGAAAGGCGCCATTAAGCTGCAGACTCTATGTCCTACTCCCGCATGACCACGATCCTCTTGATTCATCTAACCTCCGCCAGTGAATGCATTAAATCGACGGCAATATTAGCCTATCTAACAAGCATAAAGAAAAGATATGCACACCATAAAGGGTGTAGTCTACGAAGGCGACAAGGGGGGGTAGGAGGGCAAAGCTCATACCTTGCAGGAAGTGTTGATAAAGGGAAATTGGGCAGTGATGCAAAATCGAGCAGGCTTGTCGGATACATTTCCTCCGTCACGATCGATACCGTAGTGGTGCCATCGGGTATTATCCTTCATGAAATATCCACAAGATAAAGGATAGAGAAGGGGGGAAAGGGGGTTTAGAATGAGGCCAAAGGTATACGACAGCGTGAAGATGGGTAGGTAGGTACCACGTAGAGCATTGAGATGCTAGAAGTTATAATTGATAGGCACCTAACGTTCGAATTGGAGGGCAAACACTCGCATGCAGCTGTGTAACAAAACGAAGCTTCTCTATTTATATCAGAACTCGTTGATATGTCAAGAATGTCTCTTTGTCCCTTACCCGAACTCAATCTCCTCGTTAGAACAGCATCCGAGAAGAAGCTTCTCCAATTTCCTGGAATGTCATGACATAACGTCAACCATTAGCAGCAGAGGACTTTCCTCTGCACTAATCACCTATTGCATGAATCGAATGAGTAGTACACTGGTTGGAGAGGCCAATGCCATTACTCCATTCTCGATTTGATCGTCGGATGATAGCGGTAGGCTGTCGACGCTAAAGCATGGCAGCGCCCATTGGATGTAAGGACGCTGCTGATCGCCCGGAGCTTTTGTTCAAGCATGGTTGTAAACTCTCCGATACTTCTTAGAATGTCCATGATTGGAGAATGCTAGAATCTAACATACGATTAGTCAAGTGACTATTGGAACATGGGGTCAATGGTGAAGGGGAAGTGTCTATTCCTTCTGAATTGTTGCAGCACGCCCGGATAGTGAGACTGCACGCAGTCAATATCTTGCTATTGGATATGCGCTTCATTTCGATAATGCATGTCAGAGTTAGTAGCCAGTAATGATATAACGGCTGCCTGACGTGTCATGATATGTGACAAGTTCGATATGCTTGCTCCGATAGCCTTGTCCTCGATTGAACTTTTGAGTACTGTAGATGCATCGTGACATACGTGAGTATGCCGGATCAAGATTAAGCAAATTCCGCCTTGGAGTCGCACGAAACAAACTACTCTGAACCCCTTTCTACAATCTTGGTTGTGGTAGGTTGTATTGGGTTGATCTCTAACTTAATTCGGATATCAGTAAATATCTATAATATTGGTAGAAGCTAATAGGCTCACAGATATATTATTTCTCTTGGTAAGTTCCCATACCGAGGGATCCAATTAGGACGTGTCGAGGACCTCAGAGTGGCCATGGATGGGTATTGAAAGAGAAAAAGTTAGGGGAAGATTTTAGGAGATGGACAGGCTTTATTAGAAGAATGATTAGTGAGAAGGTAGGTAAATCTTACGAAAATTATGAGAAGCGATGAAATAGCACCGGAGATATTTTAATACTTTTATAGAATGTTCTTCAAAGCTTTCTTAAACACGGAGTAGAGGGCAATGACATACATGGCTGGAAAGACAGCTGGCTACTGTTAGATTATGTAAAAAGTAATCAATCACATTTCATGAGGGGTATACATGAAGTAGTCAAATACCTAGGTAGGTAGGTATGCTATCACTATTTCTTCAGCTCGATGTCATGCTTGTAAGCTGTCATTTATTTTCTTACTATTCTATATGATACTGTAATAAGGCCTGTAAAAGCTTGGAACGCACACCCAAGACCACTAATAATTTTCTAAGGTCTTAATGTCGTTAATAATCTCTCTTCTATTTTTGAAGAGGATCAAGGCCTATTTACAGACAGTCTAAGGTACGTATCCAAAGTCCTAGGTAGCCGCCACCTCAGTATGTGTGTTGCTTATCTGGCATTCTACATGCATTTCCTCGTAATGCATGTCATCCAATGATTCTAACAATAGGTAGTTATCCTGGATGCTTAAGTAGGTAGATATTGTCTACCAACCTTGTATTCTAACCAACAAGTGTATACAAATAGTATCCCACTCAAAGTACAAAGCAGTCCGAACCTGAAAAATACAAAAGTCTTCGATATCACAAAGAGAAGTACCTAACCTAGCTATTTATTCAAATAGATTTCAAACCGAGGATTCTTCAATATCGTAACGTTCCTCTAGACTTATATTCCTTTAGTACCTTAGGTACATATTACCAAAGTATATGTCGCTCCTGTCCCCCCTGCTTATATTCCAAAAAGCAAGTAAAGGTACATATCTACAAATGAGCTTATTAACCCTAATTTTCAGAGCTGAAATCCAATTTGGTACCTGATCGCCTACCTAGGAGGTAGATACGGTAGGTCGATGTAACCTCTCGGTGGTTACACAAACTGTCGTGTCGCTACCATACCGGCAAAATGTGGTTTTGAAATATGATATTTGGGGGGTGGAATGATTTTTATATCGGATATCTTTTCTTATACGGGAATTAGAATCTTAATTGAATAAAATATTATTACAATATTAAAAAAATGAAAGTGTAGGTAATAAGGTTCAAAAACGGGTAATCTTTCAGCACTAGTGGACTGGCCACCCACTAGAGCTGCTAGCTCAATCAAAACACTCCCGCATTGGTGGGGTGTGTTATGGTGGGGCTGGCTAGGAGCCTGGGGTTCGAGTCCCAGGCCTCCTAGCTTTTTTGATTTTTAAGGTTTTTGGGGGTCACATGACCCTAATCCCACTTATTCCAACCAATCAGAGCCTTCAGTTCCAAGGAATTATTCCTTTTCCAGAAATGATTTTTTACAAAAGAATTATAATTTTATAAGATATGGTATTACCCATTTTAACCATTATTATGGGTAATATGATAATTTACGCATGGAATCCTTCCTGAAACCCATACACTGCCGCTACGGTAGCTATTTGGTTCCATCATAGCGTTCCGGGTTAGCAATATTGCCACTCGTATTTTAAAGACTTAAACTTCTAAAGGCTAGACATTATTTACTTCTTTTCCTTCTTAACTTTCTTTCCCATCTCAATATGAAGTATCACAAGGAAGATCTTTTACGTCGCGACGGTAATTCCAGGTGTTTCTTACTCCGTTACTAAAATAAAGAGATTTGCCTATTCTGTCTGGAAGTAATTTATCAATATGGATCCTATTGAATTCTCTCAAGTGTCTCAATAGGTAATGGAGATCCTTGATTCGATCGGGAAGTCAATTGCGGTGTATATCGCACTACCACGTATGTCTTCCTAGGCTAAGACAACTGTAGATTATTACAATGGTGATATACTGACGAATAAACATTAGATGTCTATTCAGCAATCGTCGTCTGGTCGGTCGTGTTTACAGTCGTTGTTACGGTTGGGCTATGCTTAGGTTTCGGTCCAAGAGGTGTCATTCCAGGTGAGATGAAGTCGCTTTCATTTTCTCTTTTAACCCTAAATCCGCAGCACATATCTTACTAAAATGCATTAAGGCTCAATTGCCGCTGCCTTCCAGTCGGCTATGTTCGGTGGATTCACGCCGGCGGGGGGGATCTTCGCATCGCTGACGAGTCTTGCGATGTTGGGTTACTTCGTACCTGCTCTTACAGCATTTGTGGCAATTATAGCCCTGATTCCAGCAATAATAGTATTCAACTCAGTTCCTGATTCATAGATATAATTGGGTCATTTTTATGTATTTACTCCCTTAGCAATTGGGTTACTATACTGCTAGGCTCGAGGAACAGATGGGGAATAGTTGATTGGAGGATATGATAGTGTAGTTTTGACACTAAGAGATGTTATGAAAATTTTTAATACATGTATAGCCATGGTCGTGAGATATGTACGTGAACTGACATATTGCCCCTGAGCCTTATGGAATGAGCTAAGACTCTCAGCCCCTTAATTACCCCAATATCAGCCCCCGACCTGCAGAGGTCTCAGTAATCGAAAAACGCCGAGAATTCTATGCTCTGGCTAACTTATTTTTAAACTACTGGAGAATAAATATAACTAAAGGTTTTCTTTGAATTTGACTTCTGGATGGTTATGAGTACATTTGTATTGTGAAGCATATGGAAATGGCACTTTCGCAAGGTGGCTTGGGGATCACACCACATGAGAAGCAATATTGCAGCTCTCCTGTGAGGCAAGGCTAGGCGCTTTCGCAAACGTCCCTTTTCTTCTTCTTCAACTTTCGAGGATACCAGTTGGTCATCAAGTATATTGAAATATATTTACCCTGGGGAAGATGGCTAACTTAACAAACTATCATTCATGCCAATACTGCCAGAAATTTTCGATAAATCTCAATAACAAGCAACCTCCCGGCGACATTACCACAGACTATGGGAAAACAGCAGAAGGAATATTCTTCTTTGATGCGACTTTACAGGATGTGCTTGAAGGTGCATCCCATTATTGTAACCTATGCAAATGGCTTGATGGCGCATGGGAGAAACGTTATGGCGATCGATACAAGATGCTTGCGAATGTCCCTGCTGACCGTATAACTGTTTGTGCCGATAGCTATAGTATGTCTCTAGCTGACCGCTACCCATTCGATGAGCTGTCTTTCATAGGTCTATGGGAACATGATACCAACCCTGGATTGGGAAAATGCCGAATCAGAAGCCCATACAGTCTAGATGTTTTTACGACGCAGGGTCGGTAACACCCAAGATGCAGTATCTTGTGCCCCTTTAATTCTCGAAATTTACTAGAGCTACTAGATGACCCAGCAAGCCAGTTAATTTTGACACGCCCTATCAATTGTCGACCAGGCGCTGTGGAAAATCTACTACTGGCACGAAGCTGGCTAGAAGAATGTCTAGATTCACATCCTAAGTGCCGCACAGAACAAAACTCCATGCCTTCACGAATTCTTCGTATAGATAAGGTTGAGGATTTAGATGAATTTGAAATTATGCTCGAACCAACTTATGATAAGGTGGAACCATATGTAGCACTTAGCTATTGCTGGGGAGGTGACCAGGCTTGCAAGACTACCAAATCACGGATGAGGTCGGGTAACTTAAACATCCCATACGGTAAACTTGCCCAATCTATACAAGATGCTATTAAAGTAACATCAAGACTGGGTTTACAATACCTCTGGGTCGATGCTCTATGCATCATCCAAGACGACGAGGGAGACAAGATAGAACAGATCGCCAATATGCCTTGGATCTACAATCAAGCATGTATCACAATTGTTGCAGCAAGGTCGGATCGCGCAAGCAGAGGATTTCTAGACGATATTGACTTAGCTGAAAGTACGAAGCTTGCCGTAAGGCTTCCATTCCGTTGCCCAGACCAACACGGCACCCTAGGCTCGGCATATATCACTTACATCGACGATGGCGGAGAATCCGAGCCCATCCATTCTCGGGCGTGGACACTACAGGAGCGATATCTATCTAATAGATATATAGAATTTGGGAGAAAGCAAATGCGTTGGGTATGCGCATGCACTGGAATAAAGGATGGTTATTGCGACGGTTGGAAGCGCGAGGATCCAGACATTACTACTCACGTAATGTACATCTACCGCGAGCTTCAGCAAGATATTGAAGAGATGAACTTGAGAAGGTTGAGCGAAGAGTGGATTGTCGATTTGATAAAGGCACGATGGGAAACCATCGTCAGCCATTATACTCCACGCAAGCTCTCCGTTACAACGGATCGTAGCCTTGCGATTTCAGGGATCGCACATATATTTGGAACTCATATAAAAGACAATTATTTGGCGGGGCTATGGAAAACAACTCTTCCAAGTTTCCTTTGTTGGCAGGCAACTCCAGGCGAGCACGGATATCTTCCACGTCCAGTCCATTATCAAGGCCCTTCGTGGTCCTGGACAGGTATAAACAACCCTATTAGCTTTCTACTCGCCCGATCCTGTTATCAAGATTGTCGCGCGGAACTTCTCGACGCTGATATCGAGCTGGTGAATACAAATGCAAGATACGGTTCAGTCCGACGAGGCATTTTAACACTCAAAGGTCGACTGAAGGAAGCTATCTGGTATAAAAATACGACTGTGGGTATATTGAAGCTCCAGCCAGGAGAGGGTTCTGAGGTTGATGACCCCAATGAGGCGACTTTGATGAAACTTATGACTGTCTTCCCAGACACAAATGAACTTGAAGAGGGTGTAGGGGAATTGAGCGAAATCGAGGTCTCATTATTTGAGATTGGCAACTGCGTTGGATTGAAGAGGCGTGGGCCGCTTGGTCTCATCCTCCGCGCGATGCCTTGCGATGCGACTCATTTGTGTACGCGATTTACATGTTTGGGTCTATTCCACATCAATACAAGATCTAACAGTCGAGTAAAAGAGGACAGGAGCAACACGGGGAAGACAAGTGTTTATTCAACTATAGATTGTGTGGACTTTTTTGAGAAGGTTACTCCGGAGGCTATTGAAATTGAATAGGAGTAATAAGAAGTAAAACACATAAGAATCAAGATGACCTACATTGTAAGATTGTTACAGGGCATAAGCCCTAATAAAATGACCCTTGTGATTTTAGTTATCCTATGTGTTAAGTTATGTATAAAACTTATTTGTAGTTGTTGATATCTGCCCTTGACGCAAAATCTTGTTTAGAACTTGACAGCCGAGGATTCATAACTTGAGCACTGTATATACAATTCAAGTAGTGTCGCCCAATTCTATGAAAAATTCCAACCTGTTATCGTATTAAATGCTCGCATAACATGTAGCTCTTCGCAAAGCTCAGCGTGTAGAGTCGGGGAAATTCCAGACATCTTTGGAAGCCGAGTTTCTAATTGAGATTCATGGTGGTGTTGTGTAGGCGAATTGGCAATGTTCCGCAAACTTCCCCTCCTATGATCATGTACTTCAACTGCTCTTGTCTTGCTTCTCATACTCTACTGGTAAATCCATGCCGACCCGACGGGCACTCAGTCTGACGCGCTCTTCCTCATCCATACCCATGCCCGGATTATATCGCTCTAGCAGAGTCGTATATTGCCTTTGTGCCTGAAGATACCGTACTAACTGGTCGGCTTGGGCGACGACGTGCTCGTGAGGTGGATCATTTGAGAAGCTTTGTCTTAATTGTTGATGTAAAGGCGAACGGACTTGCGAAGAAGAAGATGGGAGTGGTTTGGGAGGAAGTTCTCGAAGGAGTGATCGATAGAGGGAGCGCAACTGTGACGGCTTCGACATGGTGATTGGGAGTATGCCGGCAGAGTAAAAATATGGGAGATGCTGATCCTAGGTATGTGTATCTTGGATAATTATTTGAATGATGCTGATGCGAGATGTTAGCAGCTAGGTACATTAACTTTAACAGGGGGACATCGGGGACTTTTTTTACCTATGTATTGCGTCGTTTGCTGCGATAAGATCGATAAGATAATGCAGGTACGTACGGATTATAGCGGGATTCATAGATTGAAGTGATTCTTTATGTACCAAAGTACCCCTCTAAATTATTTTCAATCTGAAGTTTCTTATCGCCGCCACATACAATCTTTTTTTTTTCTCGTCTGTATTCCATGCGATCAATTGCGATCCCTCATGTTGTGATATAGACGGATATCACCCATGTTATATTCCGTCATGTAGCTTACCTATAGCGACGCTTATATATACGACAACCCTAAATTGAGCAAATCTGCAAAATGTCATTGTCGAACCAACTTAACGCCTTTCTGGCTATGCCGCCCTCTCTGCGACTCGCTGTGATCGGGGCCCCTCCACGCATACGACCAAGTCAGGCCAGACTTGCTTTGAAGGCTTATAGATCTACTGCCGCTTGGAATTACGATGAAGCCGCTGCATTCTATATACCCGATTCCCGACAAGGTCGCGTCGACAATGTCTCGCTCGAAACACTTTGCAAAACATCTCACATGCGATCAACTCCCGATGAGCCTCTCCTCTCCGGACTAAGTACCCTATTCACTAGGAACCCGGCCACATTCCAATATGGAGAGACAGATTTCTACAAGCTCAAGAAGAATACACTCATCCCTGAAGTTTGTGTCCTCGGCCGATCTAATGTTGGCAAGTCGTCTTTCGTCAATGCTCTTGCTGGCCGAAGTCAACGAAGTCAAAACTCGCTGGCGCGTATTAGCAAGCACGCTGGAAAAACTAGAGAGATGAATACATACGGATTTGGACCGGCACCGCTGCCGAAAGACATTGCCGCGTGGACTGCCGAACTTAAAGGCAAAGAGGATATCCCAACTCATACCTTTTATCTTGTGGATATGCCTGGATACGGACACGCCTCTTTGGAAGACTGGGGACGTAATATTACCCTATACCTGACCAAGAGGATAGGCGTAAAAGGAGCCATAATCTTAATCGATGCTGAAGTTGGGCCCAAGGAGCTGGACTTACAGTGTTTACAATTATTGAGCTCTGTCAATATGAGAACTTCCATCGTTCTCACCAAGGCGGATAAGGTTAAAGGTGGCCTACTCGCCTTGGGTGATTTATGTGCCAAGTTACGGGACAATATTCTCGACATTGAAAAGTCACAAGAGAATTATAATTGGAATTTAGACAGAGATGTGTTTGTCACTGCTCTTGGTGCGAGAGATGCTGCTGTTATACATTCAACAGCATTGCATGCGAGATTTGCTGTGGCTCGTTTAGCCGGCTTGATAGAAACTAACCGACCGGACTCGGAAAAAAACGAGAAGTGGTCTGGCAAAGTTATCTCGTTTGAAGACCTACAGTATGCGCCAAAGGATTCCTTGCCCAAGAAGGTAGATAACTCCGAATCTTCTAAACTAGAATGGGCTGCGGGAAGGGGGCATGAGGCTCGTCATGGAATCACATCAGGTATTTTTAGCTCCTTACATTCGAGGATTATCACCCAACCCCAGGCTCGAAGCTTCCACAGCGACAGCTGTAGGATGAAAGACCCACGCAATATGGAACCAGATTCACAGGAGATGGTTGATATCCTAGATGAGTTCATGAAAAAGATCAGGGCTACGAACACGACCAGCAGCTATGTTCGAAATATGCGGCGGAAGAATGATAGACGTCTACCTCCTGCACCGGAAAAACGCAACATCCTCGGCAGACAGGATGAAAAACTGCATAATATCCTGAAGAAGCGCTTCCCTGAAGATGTAGCTAGGTCAGAAAAGATACGCGAGAAGAGGTTGACAGGGAGGAACCCACAGGGAGGACGGGAACAAAAAGCCAATGAAGAAGAATGGCCCACTGACTTTCCTTCATCGAGGGGCAAAAGTGGGAAACAGAAAAATGAACTTATGACTCCAGACGCATTTAAGGCTCTAGTAACGCAACCGGAATCGAAAAATATCACGCCACCATCTTCAGGACAAACTAATAAGAAGAAGCAAAAAGGCCAGAATAACCCCGGTAAGAAACAATCAAAACAAAAAGAGAAAGTGGTGGTGGACGAGTTTGAAGCCAAATTTGCCAAGGCATTTTCAGGAAAATTCTAGGTGGGGATAATGTTGGTGTTCCAGTATAAAGGACCGACCTTTGGGTTGGCTTTGCACTCGGGTATAGCGACATATGGGCAACCTACCTTAGATAGGTACCCGTTATGAGTCTAACATGATGGCTGTATATAATATACTCTACTATGATCACACACATATAGGTAGCATAAGGACATATCGAACACAACTCTTGATTCTATTCAACCATATTTTACTTCATACCAGTATGACTCAATTACGTAGCGGCAGCTACGAAATTCGATGCTCGCGGGGCTTTAGGAGGCTTCTTGGTCCTCCTCTTACCCCTCTCCAGATCTGCCGCTGAGACATCTACCCGTCGAAAAGAGTAGTTGGGCACGAAGACGTCGACTAGGTTATCCCAAAAGCCGAGGTCGTACAAATTCTCAACATCGCGCAAGCGCCAGATACGTTCCCACTCGCCGACGCCATTAGGTATGTTCGGATCCGGCGGCGTGCCGTCCTCTGTGCGTACGATTACCTGGACTGCGTCGACGGGCCATCGCGTCCAGGCTGCCTCGTGACGCGGGTTTTTATCACGGTCAAGTGACAGAGAACGCTTGAACGCGCAACCATCGTCCATCTCCATTTGCCAGTCCTGCCATTTCATGCTCTCGTTAGTAGTTGTGCCGCAATAAATCAGATAGATGTGATATCCAAGAAGGCCCCAAACCAGAGGTGTCGTCATCAGCGAGAGTAGCGTGATGGACCCTACGCCCACGTCGTCCTGGATGCCTACGGTGAGAACCATTAAATATTCGTGCCAGGACCAACTTGCTGGTTTCGGGAACATCACGAACGACTTATTGCGCATGCGCGCTGCGTCGGCGACTGCACCAAGGCCGAGAATACCGCCATACAAAGTTAGGACGGCGGTTGATAGAAGTAGGAGGATGAAATAATGCTGATTACCGTAGCCGACGCAGTTGTTAATGAAGACACAGTGGTGGTCCATCTTGTGAACACAACGTTTGCAGACGGAGCAGTGCTTAGAGCGGGCGGGCTTCAATAGCCCACATGTTCGGCACGTTTGACCCGGCCGGAAAAGCGCAAAATCGTACGGGTAGTGCGACATGTAACGGGAGTGATTAGCGGGGGTAACGATACCCGGATCGCCAGCCGCGGAAAGGTATAAGAACAGGTACGGTAAGATAATGGATATGCTTCCTAGGGTCTTATGAAGGGGGCTTAAGCGCGGCCATACTCCTGGTAGAAACATAAACTCGCCCACGGATAGTAGCAATATGAAGAAAATGAGCACTGTTGGGTGTCGGTCGTACATGACATAAGTGCCAAATCTACCCAACGTCGTGGTGAGACGGCCTGAAGTGAGGCGCTGGTCAAGGCTTAGAATAGTATTTGGTATATACACCCATATTGCGCGATGCAGCCAGGCTATCGGAGTATGTCTAATAGGATTGTAATTAGTTAGTAATGAATAGGTAGTTACTAGGTAGTTATACTATTAAATGACATATTTAATAGTTGGCCCGTGTGTTGCGCTCATACCTTAGAGCCGGTAGTCTGCCGAAAAAAGCGACAAAGACCATAAAACAGATGGCGAGAACGGCCAGGGAGATCCTAGTAAGGGGTCCCATTGTTACGGATCGGAAGAGATGATGATAGTAGGTGATATATGCGTTAATCGAACATTAAAAAAGGGATATTTCGAACTGGTTTCATGGCCAAGTCATCAGGTGCAAGAACAGGTGCCGATACAGACTCATTTCATAAAAGCTGATATGTATGTAAAATGCTGATGATAAAAGGTCACAAGAATTATTTACGGCTAGTTGACTCTGTTTAGCTTATGATGAAAGGAATATAATAGAATAAAATGTGTTTATATTTGTTTAATTTCGGTCAGCGACATACGCGCTCGTCAGCTGGTACGTGGTACGTGGTTCGTGTATGACTTCTAAGGTTCTAATAAAAGATATGATTGAGGGCCTGTCGCGGCTGTCAGCCCGTGCTGCAGGTACATTAGGTACCTACCTAGGTAGATGGGGTAGATTAGGTAAACTTGAAATTTGATTGGTCAGTAAGTTGAGGCGGTGCTTAAGTCATTCAGCCGCTTTTGTTATGATAAACTGAGGCTATTATCTGTTAAATCAATAAAAACTCCCCGAAATAAGCATAGAATCTAAATCCCACATGATTATCGATAGATTATCCCCAAACTGGATTTAAAGTACTTGCGCAACTGAGAAATCGCGATCCGCATCACGCGTCTTATGAAACTCTATTCACGGGACTTTTTATACAAACTGAAGCCTGACCTTTTTTTTATACCACAATAAAAGGTCTACTTTGCCCGGATACACCCCTCTTCATCTCTTATTGCTATATTTTAGATCCCATGTTGTCGGAAAACGTACCCAACGTTGCCTAATGAACATAATACATACACGCGTTCGCTATGAAAGCCAAACCCCTGGAAGTTATCAAAATAACAGGATTACGAACTTACAATATTTAATTCCCCACGGTTATCAACTTATTTTTAAGCTATTCGGGTGGAAGTTACTTTAATCGACGCTTATACTGCACTTCACAAGACCATATTCAATTCTCCGAAGTTACGAGGTTAAGTGAGAGTTAGCCGGATGTCAGCCCCTATCGTCTACGAAGGGGCCATAGCCCGTAAAAACCCTTCTCAGAATGGCCTGTTTAGCGGCATGCGTTTTTGGGTAGGACATCGTGTGCCACAGCGACTCCATTTTGTTCAAATGATTCAGGTAGAAATATACAGTTCATTGATCCGTCATTATTTATACTAACACAATTTAGAACAACGGGGGCCAGGTAGTTCCTCTCGAGAAGAATGCCGATTATTTGATCGCCGACCACGCCAAGAAAAATGCTTGTCCACCTGGATCATATTCTTTTAAGTGGATCGACGAGTCTTGTAGAGCTGGAGTTCTGAAGGAACCCGAAAATTACTTATGTATGCCTTCTAAACAGAGTGAGCCTACTAAACAGGGTGGGCCTCGACCTTCTGGCTCGGCCGCTCCTCTGAAGACTACAAGGACCAAGTTTACCGCCGAGGATGACCTGATCCTTAGGAGATGGGTTGCTAGTAACGAGAGAAAAGGCGAGTTAGTATTAGGGAATGCAATTTACAAACAGCTCGCAGATAAGGTAAGCATTAATTATATTCACATTATATATATGTTAACAACAAGCTAAATAACTTAGTACCCACATCATACTTATCAGTCGTGGCGAGATCGATGGGTCAAAATTTTGCAATATCTCCCTCAGCCGAAAGAGTCTGATAGAACACCGTCTACTCCGACAACTAGGCGAACGGCTGATGCTTTGGCCCATGCCTCTCCCAAGACTCCTGGATCTCTTGGGAGACGCGTGCCTACTCGGAATGCTGCCGCTACTCGGGGGCGGGTGCAATTCACAGAAGAGGACGATAAGTTACTCATTCATCGCGTCATGGAATGCGCACGTCAGGGCAAGGCAATTGCAGGGACGAAGATTTTCCGCGATCTCGCTAACGATGTAGGTTTCATACCGCCTTTACGTCGTTTCTTGCTAACCTTGTCTAGTTCCCGCATCATACAGAGCAATCATGGAGGGCTCGTTGGATTAAGGTACTTGAACCGAGACTTATCACGCGGCCTGCTGAAGAGGAACCCGAAGAGGAACTTGAAGAAGAACCAGAAGAAGAGCCCGAAGAGACACCAAAAGCACTAGATACGCGAATAGAAGCCTCACGGCCTCACAACACAACAACGTCGCTAAGGAGCCCTCGAATACGAAGTTCGACGCATTCATTACATACCGTAGGTGAAGTGCCGACAGTAGTTACTGGTCCATCGGAGGATAACGTAGTTAATAAAGGTAAAGGACACCAGAACCTTGACGCCGAAGTTCGGACAATACCCCAAGCACCTATACAGGAACCAGAAGAACTATCAGCCGACCTTGATCAATCATTTTCTAGTGATATGTCTATGAAGGAGCAATTCCTTTCCGATTACCGGGCATATGTGGAAAGTGAAAATCTCGAATTTGTACACTGGCTCACGATAAAAGGGCGTACATTCGAACTTTGGGATTTATGGGAAGCTGTCACCTCTCAGAAGGTGGATCCAAGTGAACGCGACTGGCAACAAATTGCGGAAACGCTTGGGTTAAACTGGGTTCAGTATGAAACTGTTCACGATGAGGTCAGAGACTGTTACGAGAAATATCTTGCCGCTTATGAGGAATACATTGCCGCTTTTGAAGAATTTTCGGAGAGTTCCAATGCCGATACGAACGACGATGACAATGAAGAACCTTTACCATCATCACCACCAATTATGCCCTCTTTAAAGCGATCATTTGACACACATAAATCGCCATCCGATCATACATACCCACAGCCATCACCTAAGCGGCGAAGAATCAATCGGGACACGGAGATTCCATCTACTCCCGATCATGCGAATCTAGCTTCTGATCTTCGCTCCCAAGCTGATAACGGCACAAGTCTTAGCGCTAGGCGGTCGACCCAGCGTGCTATGAGCAAGATAACTGAAAGAAACGAATCTCGAGATGTAAACCCTGAGCTTCCAGTCTTCGAAACCCAGGTAAATTTTGAGATGGAGTCACAATGCAATATCACTCCGTCGCAGCAGCTTTACCAAGAGTCCGATGCGATATCTTTAGACCTTGCAGATGCGTCACCTACGCCCAAGGTTGGAACTCGGATTGCCAATCAAGGAACCCCTACACCGAAAAGATTAGTCCGAAATCCTTTCCGAGAAGATTCCGATGACGAGGCGGCAGAAATAACAACTACTGGTCATAGCAACGATAATTCTGTAAAGGTTACTAGTGCAGAGAAACCTAAGCGCCGTTCTCTGCCGAAATCTTATGCTCGAAAATCACCGCCTGGTGGCGGTGCTTCCGCTTCAGTAGTAGCCTCCAGAGAAGATATGCAACACTCACGCCTAGAGCGGTCTCAGCCGCCACGTCGCTTAAGTCCGCCTAAAGAAACGCCAGAAGATATCATCGATCGTTTTTGCTCTTTAGGCTATCCGAGAGGGATAGTGCTCAAATCGCTACGGGCTACGACATGGCGCCTCGGTGATGCTGGCCAGGTTATGGAAATACTAAAGCGAGGTGAAGAGCTGCCACAGAGGACCCATGGGGTCTGGACACAGCGCGATGATGATGCATTAGAGTTGGTGATATCGAACCAGCCTCCAAAGGATGATAAGGAGAAGAGGAAGCGCGTAAAGGCTCGAGAGCGGCTTGAGAAGAAGCACGGTCCAGAATTGATAGAGCTTCGGCGCAAGTATTTGTGGGAAGTTGTGTAATACACGGGTTATACTTGTACTTAACTGTAAGGTATTATGCCTATATGTTGGTATTGTTACAGTTATTGCATACCTACTCATATGGTACATACGTGCACGTAGTATAGAGTTATGAATGTACTTAAACTCTATGTCACATCTGAGCGCCTATAAGTTTGAAGATTTTTTTTTTTATTGAAGGGGAAATATTGAACTATAGAAACACTTAGACCCAAAAGTAACCAACTAGGGGTAATTTCGACCTCTTATAATTCATACATTTTCTATAGCTTGAGAACGAATAAAATGTACAGAGCTATGGCCCCTTAGACAGGTGTATAAGCTCTTGTATTTGCTATACACTTGCTGTACTCGTGCAACTATCCAACTCTAAACCTCTTCAACAGATTATCAACCTCAACCATATCTACCTAACCTACCTTATAAATAGGTCTTGGGATATGTTTCTTCTTCTTTTTCTTCCCTTTTTCCCTAGCATGTGTCACTCGCTATATCCAAATCTTTAGCCTTTGATTTCATATTATTTCAAAAGTTGCTATTCTCCTTTCGTGCATATATTGATCTCCGGATGTATATTACTTAGGTACCTAGTATATATAAATACCTCCTAGGTGCCTAAAGTATCTACACACGCAATTATGGCCGAAGTCCCGGTCCTACTGCTCAACTTTCCGAGGGAGTTGCTCGATGATATATGCGAATACTTCTTACCGGATATTCTACCACCTTACTTAACCTTCCGGGACTATGATGCCGCGCGCGAATCTGCTACGGATCTAGTTAACTTGAGTCTGACTTGCAGATCGTTATACAAAAGTGCGGCACGGCTCCTGACCAAATGTAAAGGACATCCGTTCCATAATGGGCTCCTTCCCTATATTGACACCATTCTTCGGAATCCGGATATAGCATCACACGAGACAACATTCAGACTGCATCCCTCGGATCATAATGGCATACTTGAAGAACACCATCTTCAGACCTTTAGCGCAGAGGCACCGAGGCTGGGGATTGTACTTCCGCTTTACTATTATGCTAGCCTCATCCAGGTACCAGAAGCTGATGCGAGGCACAACTATATAATCCACAGGGGCCGCGCGAATCTGCTGTATCTCTTGTTCGCGAATCTCCCGAACTTATCGTCTTATGATATATATATCACTTGCGAGCCTCTGTTTCCCTCATTCGGGCGGTTATCGTTTTTTCTATCCGTTAAACAGATCAGGCTAGTGGGATACTCGGACATCCTTTCGTCCCTTGATATAGGCAACTTTTGGCGCAACACCCGCTACTCGTCAGGGGCCGAAGTAATCGAGTTCGTGAACATGGAGAGGTGTAGCCGACCCATCTTCCTGCAACAAGTTCACACCATCCGCCTGTTATCCTGCCGGCTTTCGACCGATAGCTTATTTAATGTAGTTAAGAACTGCGCGTCTAAGCTAAGAACCTTCGTGTACCGCTCGGGATACCACAGCATATATCTGCAGCAAGGTCCGCGTCCTGGAGATGTTCACAGGAGGATATCGGATGCCTCCCCGTGGGATATTGTAACTGTCCTGAGGCTGCTTTTGACAAGACAATCGTTAGAAACGCTCGAGATCGACATGCGCGAGCATTTCTCTGTCAGGAGATGGGGTTTACATCCACGCCCGCCTGCCTTGGAGTCTGATCTCGTACATAACTTCGTCAATGACTTAAAGGGCTTTCCTAATCTTCGGAATGTTACTCTCACGCAGCAGACTCTCTGGGAGCCGTGGTTCAACGCGTGTCCGGGATTCGAAAATGAACGCAGCTTCTGCGACGAGATGCGCTTAATCAACATGCTGCCCCCCTCCATCGAGTCCTTCGCGCTCTACGACGTCACACCAGATTTCCTACCGTGCCTTTTTGAATTGGCGCTGCACGTAGCCAGCGGGTTGGGATTCCAGAACTTGAAGGAGGTCACCTTGCGACCGTCGCCAAATTTCATCCGACAGCTCAAGCACGCGAGATGTCACCAGGACGACCCTCACCTGCAGTTCTTTGACGAGCATGATAGATCTTGCCGTCTGGATCAGACGCTTTTACCTCGCTGGGGAGCAATCGGCATGATGTTCAAGAGCAGCGGAGTGCGGGTTGATGCCGCCCTCGAGGTGCACCCGCTTGACACTGAGGACCCGGAGCCTCTGCAGCGACAACGCGAGTTACAGCACTGGTGCGATAAGTGCCACTTTGATTCTTCTGTCTGTGTTCATCGGGAGCCGGGGCTTTTTGACGTCTACGCCAATTGAGCTTGTTGAGGGATGCGATCCCCCGCCTGCATGTAGCGAGGCGGGTGGAGGGAGCTGGACGTGTCTGGATGGATTGATTGAGGGAGTATTATGTTTTTGAGAAGGTTTTTGGTTTTTTCTATATACACAAGCGCCTAAAGGTTCTATGCTTGGTTGCTTTTCAAGGAATGGTTTGGCTAAGGGTATCATGGATCGAGCAGTCGTTTGAATGCATTGCGGGACGGGGTGTCTAGGGACATGAGAAAGATTTTCATTTATGATGAATACATGAACTTGTATCATATAGAGATAATAATGTAATTATTATGTTTCAACTATTGATAGTTTGATAAAGAGGAATGTTTCGAGTCTTATTTCTCAAATATCCGATGTTCATATTATTTCCCGGGAGCCTTGATAGTAGATGAGATACCAATAGAAGAAGTGAGTGACATGGAGAAGTCATAGTTACCTGTTATCCTCACCAAGTTAGAGTCACCAGGCGGAAGTATGAGTCTTAAGCCCGTCGTGTTTGCTTCACTTTGATTTGTCTTACATCTTATAGGGAAGAGGAACAAATATCTTCGAACGGAATCCTCTAGAATATTAAGATAAGAGATATCATCTCTTGGTTTGCATATGAAACGAGGTACCTAGAATTCTTTGAGTCCTATAAGATGGCGGGATCCTGACTTTCAGAACGGCTGCTGGTTGGAATCTTCTGGTCCTGGCGTTAGGCACTATTAGAATAATATTCTCTTCAGATAATCATGGTTATAACTCCTTACCCAAAGACAAGATATATCTGCTAGTACGACTTAGCTTATTGGAGCTCTACCGTCGTGAGCAACCAACTAGAAACTGAACCCCTTTAAGCAAGGTACAAATACAGACAATACGCGCAATGTCCTCGTCATATCTGTTCCCGATCAAGCCAGTACCGTTCCTATACTTAGGCGACGATGATCGGAATATCCCAGACCTAAGCGACGAGGAACTCGGCGATCTGGTAGCTGTACTTAAGTCTCTAGCTCGGGGTAGCTACCCGCGTCTGGAGGCAGTGCCTCTCGCACTAAACGCCTACAACTGCAACCAGAGGACCGACAGTGACGGCGAGCGGCCATGGGCGTATTTCTACCCGATCACCATCATCCCGCCCGTCCGATTCAATAAAAAGGACGATCTGATACCAAATTACCCCGAAATCCAGCTAGATTTCGAGATACGCCAGGACTTGAAGCGGCGGTGGCAGCCTATACGCTACAGAGGCGATGGTGGTCCTAGTAATCAACCGATGGAGTTTTCTCTTCCCGCGCGGTACCGCTTTATATGTTTCATACACAAGCACCGGATCCACCGGAAGAATACTTCGCAGAAGGGCGTGCATACGATTAGTATCTGGGATCGCGAGGTAAGGTGGACTCCTCTACCCCTGAATGACTTTTGATATCCACATTCCGATTTGCCTATCACTAGCTAACGGAAACATGTGTGCACAGTGGGACGAACTCACCTGGCACGACACGTATCACGTAGATAGGATATCGCGCAGGAAGGATATCCGAGAATTCTGGAAACACGTCAAGGCGCCGGGGTTCATCGACGAGGAGGGCTCGCGAGAACACTTCATGAGCCGGATTCGCTACCGGACTGTATACCATATCTGCGAGCACATGGAAGAGACCCTGCGGAGTCCTGGTAGGTGTCTCTAGCCCCCCTTCCTATTTACGTGTATAAGCACCTGATTACTTTCGACATCACTAACACTGCCGTCTATTTTTTCTGATAGTACCGCCGCGACATACAATCTACGCCGTGATGAGTATAGCCCTCTTCCACATGAACAACGCGCGCGACCAGCAGGTCTCCATCGTGCCAGACCGGCTCGAGCTGTTCGGGGGACAGCACAAGGGCCTGCTGCCGCGGTTCTTCGCACACCTGCTATGTCTGTGTCTGGACATGCGGCCGGGTTGGTCTCGCGCGCGCCAGAAGCGCTTTGTACTGCAGTTTCGTATTCTGGAGCGTCTGCAGTGGATGAGATTGCGTACGCGGGAGTATTTGGAACTTCATGATAGTGATGGAGATGGGGATTATGGGGTTAATACTAAGAAAAATGATGACGGTGGGCGGGGGTGGATGTGCGAGGTCTTGAACATACTTTAGTTTCTTACCTGAGGTATGGCAAGGGAGGCCTTATGTGGGATTAGTCGGTAGCTGAGGGCTGTGATGGTTAACATACATGATTTACCTGTTTAACAATTTATCAATAAGAGCTGGTATTTGCATAGGGGTGCTTAACCTACCAAAATAGTACTTGTCAAAAGAGAACTTGTCACATCTGGATTCGATAGTAGCAACGTTTTCCTCCACGAAAATCGTAATCAAAAGTGGTTCAATATCTTAGGCTTGGCGAAGCATTATATGGCAGTGTGATGAAAGACTCAGGCTCTAGATGTCCTAGATCCTAAAGCTTGAATCCAATTTATCGTTACGAAACCGTGACCCCTATCCATTCACCCAAGCTTCGTCTAGTATATCTTATGCCTATCCCCTTGGCTTCACCTAACTGCTCCGGCTACTTCCACTGCTCGAGCTGCTGCTTCGGCTATGACCCTTATGCTTCTTATCTTTTTTATGTTTCTTGTCCTTCTTATGTATCTTGCTACCGCCATAGGCGCCAGCAAATGCTGCAGCGGGAGCGAATGCTGAAGCCATACCCATGCCCCCGTGTCCTCCGCCATGGCCTCCTCCATATCCACCTCCGTGGCCTCCGTGGCTGCCTCCGTGAGAAGAACCACCGAGGTAATGCGCGGCTGCTGCTGCGCCTATGGCTGCTAGTGGGGCGCCGCCCCCATGCTTACCCCCAAGTACGCCTCCTACTAATGACCCTAGTCCCCTATCACCAGTATTGGGGTCGTGCTGGTAGTCGCCACCCTGTTGTCCGGGAGGGTACTGTTGGTGCTGCTGATGCTGTTGCTGCTGTTGGTACGGCGGTTGTTGGTGTTGTTGATGTTGTTGCTGAGGAGGATATTGATTCGAGTAACCCTGCGGTGGGTAGGCTTGGCCCTGCGCCGAGCCGGAGCGATTGTCGTAAGCAGGCGGGCTGCCGGGGTAAGGAGAATGGCTCCCTTGTGGTGGGGGTGCACCGTAAGGTTGTTGTTGCGGCGGATAAGGCGAGTACTGACCCGGAGGCGGTGATCCGTAGGAGTTCGGCGTATGTGACGGCGGTGGTCCACCGTACTGCTGCCCGCCGTATTGATTGTTGTCATGGCTCCAGCCTTGAGGCTGATACTGATTTGGAGGAGGACTCTGACCCGGATACTGTTGCTGTTGAGGGTTATAGTTTTGAGGAGGGTATTGGTTCTGGGATGGTGGATAGCCACCACCACCACCACCGTAGTAATCTTGGCTGGACATGTTCGGTACGAAAAGACCCCAATATCTAAAATATCACGACGACGTATTTCTGTTTATATTTTGTAAAAGGTTGATAGGATCAAAAGGCAACTATTGGTAAGATCTGAACGAATTGAACGAATTTTATATGGGTATTTGAGAGGCCTCTTGCTGACGAGGAGGAATGAAAGGATGACGGAGGGGTAAAAAAGTAAGGGGAAATACGGTCAAGGGACTTTGGAACAAGGGACTTGATGCTACGTATGTACACGATGTACACAACGTACACGATGATCCCTGTCATTCGCGACATGCCACCGTCTGCACCATGAATCGTACCCCTGAGCCGCCCCGCGCGCTAAATTGCGAGCTACATATCACGGAAGTCGATATGAAGTTATTTATTCGGATGTTGTAAGTCTATAGCATCTAGGTTTAACATCAACCTCCTTTAGTACCACCTTTCAACTAATCGTGACACTAAGTACATTAATTAATTTGTATGTATCACTATTCTTCAGCCTTGTGGGTCTTATTAGTGCTGTATCACGAAGTGCCTAGGGAGAGAGAATGTGGGGTTAGTTGGGTAATAGAAGTATTCATCGAGGCTCTCCAAGTCCAAATATCCATGTCTAACTCAGTTCTATATTAATGTTTAACTTACATTACATGCAGTTAAGCGACAATGTCTATAGACACTTGAATTGGTTATCCGTGTTAATAATATCTGACTAACCGAGTTGTTAAGATAAAAGAAAATGTCAAGATAATTCTGTTTATTATTTTTGCTACTTGTATATCTCAAATATGAAGGGTATCTTAAATACCTTAGGTACCAGGTATGTACCAATGGCGCGCCAGTGATGGCTGTATAGAATCCCAGCATGAGAACATAATGAGTGTAGCTAGGCTCTTAATAAATGACGAAGTCAAACTTATAACCCCGAAAGTATCCCTCTTTATTTTAACGGAAGGATAATGACATTTTGCCAGATTTCTTTTTTTCATCATAACTACCTAAACTCCAAACACGAAAGGCACCAAAGACCTAATACCATCTTTTACTATTTCTCTCCACGAATAAAGGCCTCATGCCTTCGCCAGCCGAGGAATTCCCATACCGCAAGAATAGTAACGCCAAGCTGAACGATGAACATCGGAATTAGGTTATACTGCCACCCCCTCATGACGCGTACGTAGCTTTCTATATCGTCTCTCGCGTCGACTAGGTCTAGCTGAAGAACAGCCGAGAACCAATTCTGTGGCGTCCAGAATTCCAATGGGTACTTGCTACCATCGAGAGTGGTAGCTAATGGGACATCGATGCTTTGCCCCTCGTGCGCGTTTGTAACTGCGAACACATAGGCGAGTGCCCCGGTGGTAAGGAGGATTGCCGGAATATTTATCGATACCCAGAGGTAATATATAAATCGTGCGAAGGTTCCTGGCCCGCCATATTTATTCTGAGATCGAAGTAATAATGCGAGTATGCCACCTAACCCGATAAGAACGAAAGCAGTTCCAGCGGCGCCGTTACTCGTATGCCCTTGGTCAGTCATTATATGGACCGGGTCGCCGGCCAGATGATATGTTGAGCCGGCATAGTTGAACAAGAATCCTTTGCTAGCTGTTCGATGCAACCATGCGACCATGCTACTGACAAATGCAAGTTCGATGACCGAATCGACCATAAGCAGGCCTATAGCAACTTTGAGAGCAAGCAACAATCTCGACATTTTGTTTATAGGATTTTCTCTGATGGTATGGTTGAAGGTGATGGAGGGTAACTTAGGATCGAGAAAATGAAAACCGGGGAGAGAAAGGAAACTAACATACTCACTGACATACTCACTCGATGGGGCGAGCCTTATCGACTTTATGACTGCTCATCTTTTGGGACTTAAGGTTCTCTAATTGTTAGGGCTGACAATGTCGGGGCGGCCGGTGATGTGCACTTGTTGCACTACTTGGGTAGCTTTGCTATTTATGTCAGCTGAGATATTGTTGGCCAGTTATTGGGGGCGATGTGCGTATAAGATGACAGTAGCATTAGTCTCACCCAACACGATGGATTTAGTAGTGGCTTCGTCGCACGCCAGCCTTACTGCCAAGACACAACCGTCAGAATATAGCTTCTAGGTCAACGGTTTACGATGTGTCGTGAGGCTCTCTATTCTACTTCGATATATATAATTTTCAAGGTAAGTGAACGTAAATTAGGAGTTATACGTCCTGTCGCAGGTGCAGTTCAAAATCCAACAGAGAGTTGGAAGCATGTGCTAGCGGTCCTTAGAGGTTGTCGACTATTGTCGCACGACACATTTGTCACGCTTAGGACAAGACGATTGACGAGTAAGAGGAGTCCATGTATGCGTGTGACATGGATGCAATAGTAACGCTGATAAGCTATCATATTATGAATTACATCTTAAGTTCTGAATTATCGCACCAACATGAAGCAGGCTACAGTATCTTTCCATTCGAGAGCTTATACGAGTCGTACAAGCCACTCACCTATCCTTGATGAGGACTTGCTTCTCCTTCTGCAAGTTTTCTGCCACGTTGAGCGGAATGTTTAAAGATGTAGCTACAATGCCCGCTGGCGTCAAAGCGAGCCACTGGGTCAGGGAGATATCTTCGACTCGATCACTCTTGTATATCTCGATCCATACCAATTCCTCGGTTTCCGAAGTATTCTCTATGTAATGCCCTTGGTTCGTTAGTTATACAAGTCTTAAAAAGTTGAGACCCAAGCTTACCGCTATTGTCCGGGAACACGCCGGTATCTCCAGCTCTGAAGTCAAAGGTCCGAGCAGCGGCGCTACCTATAAACACGGTCGCGCGTCCTTGACCTTTATGGAAGTAAAGCCATTCTTCGGCCTGAGAACTCTGTTAGATATGAAACCGGGAGATGGTACGCAGGGCTTACGTTTGGATGCCAGTGCAGCTCTCGCAGACCACCAGGCTTAAGGGTGACAATACTAGCGGCTATCGTCGTCGCAATGGGAAATGTTTTCGAGTCAACTATACGAAGTGTACCGCCTTCTCCGGGAACTTTTTCTAGAGGATGGTCTTTCGAGTAATAGGCGAATGAGGCATTACCAGTGAGCTCACCATTGCCACCAGTCACGTTATGGTAGTCAATAGTCCCGTTAGAGATATACGGATTTGGAGACGGCACTGAACCAAAGACAGACTCAGGAAGTCCAAAGTTCTTAGCAAGAATCGACTTTGGAGTATGTGTGATCCAATCGTCCACATTGAAAGTTGTCCTTGGATTTGTTAGCGTGGATTGACTGGTGATGAGGTTGAAGATAATGGCCTACCCCACGGCATCGAAATCACCGTCGTCAAATATTAAGAGGAATTCGTTTTCGTCCTCAAGACCTTGGACAGTATGAGCTACACCCTTAGGGAAGTACCAAACATCTCCTTCATCGAGCTTGGCAACTTCGAATTGACCGTCCTGGTTTACTCCCGAAACCAAGATTGATCCAGCATAAACATACCCCCACTCAGCCTGAGGTCATATTGTTAGTAAAGAAATATTATATCTCATTGATGCAGTACTTACCACTCGATGCCAATGCAGTTCCCGGATTGAGCCTTTAGTCAAATGCTGCTGAGCAGATGAGATCTGTTTGCTGCTAGGCAGATCTGTGACAACCTGTTCTCGAACCCAGCCGCCTCTCAAAATCCTCGTCTTTGAGTCTGAAAAGCTCCACTTGAGGTTTGGCACGACACCATTATCGGTGCTTTGCTGACCAAGATTGTCTGGATTCTGGAGGTCAAGGGCATGGTTCGTCCCACCTAAGAAGCGTATGGTCAATATGATGGTTCAGAATACCGGTGATATGAATAGTGAAAAGTACCTGAGAATGGTGCACCCTTTCCGTTACCGTCAATCGGCTGGCCGTCTTCGAAGCCACCCTTACTTTGACGCTCTATAACAGAACCACTAGCACCCCATGCTGCGAGAAATACGAAGGAGGTTTGGAGAACCCTCATATTGGCTATTAGCGTACGGTAGTGGAAATAAGAGTGCTGCAGGGCAGATGTAGTCCAGGAGATCATGCAGCGAGAACAAGTTACTACTGGTTTATATACACCTTTTAATCTACGGATTTTCATCCGGTAGGGCACGCCATCGCAATAGCTAATTTTGGGCTCCCCTCCTTATTCACGCCCAGCCAGGGGTATTACCTCTACGATGCACGAGAAAAACCTACCCCAAATACCTGCATCGCAGCGCCAAGCGAGGTTGACCCCGGAGATGTTAATGAACTTGATGAGATTCCCGCGTGACGTTGCCTATTGCTCATATGCGGGGGCCTATAATCAGCCGCGCTCCTAAACGCACCATCCATATTAAAATAACGTCATGTCTTGGCAAGACATCAATGGGGAATAAATTCTGCATAGTTTGATGAGCGATACTCTAACGTTGCAGTAGAAGGAACGAAATCTTGAACTATCTACGCTCATCATCATCTGGTAATTGCTAGTGACTGCTTACGCCATCTTGCGGCTTCGTTGCGGCACATAAAGATAGTAGTCGTTGTTAGTAGCTAGATTCGTAACTGAGCTAAGGGAGAGAACGAGGCATGTTACTTAGCGTTTATGTCCAAAAAGGGGAAATGAGCGACGTTTGTGATATGCATGATAACTGTTACGCCTACATTTAGACATAATAACAGGTACCTGACTGGCTTACCTATTTCTTTCTCACCTTTAGCTTCCATGAATAATATCACTGTATAAAGCTAGAACGTGAGAATAGCGTATCACTACTGTAAGCTGTAAGGCACCGGTGGGTAAACTGTATAACCTATTGTCTAGGGCTACACTCCTTAGGGGGAAGGCTTTAGGTGGTGATTCGCAGTTTTAGAACAACGTTCACTACCTGTTAGGTGCTTCTGAACATAACTAGAAGAAAGAATGTCTTGGCTGCCTATACCTAATATAAACCTTAGGTTACTTCGTGAAGTCGGCGATAGGTAGACGATGAGGTCGCCACCCCACGATCAAAAGCTTATAGTTAGATATGATTATATCCTTACTAGCCTACCTAGAGAAAACCCATGTCCCGGTAACTGTCATCCAGACTATTGGAACCGATAGCTTGGCACTGCAGAAACTAAGCTTTGCTGGAGCATCATAATGTTGGCTCATGCAGCCTGTAGCCTGAACTGGCATATATCTATGCAGATTGACCTCTTCTGGAAGACTATTATCTTACCCAGGTTCTGGGAACTGTAGAAGGGAATAACGCAAGGCGCCGATCAAGTCTATATACGGCTACTTGACCTTCAAACTTTTCCATTCTCGTGACGATACTTGACCTCATACGAAGTAGCTGATTACTTTGTCCGTAGCTCGTACCTAGTAGAGTTTGAATTTTCTAGTCGATGTTGAGATAATACTACGATCAAGAGCTTCGTGGTGCTATTCATACGAATTATGGCAACATCTGAGGGGAATTGGGATCGTCAACACTTCGTGGGATAGCATCAAATGCAAGAGCTGAAAGGCGGCTTGTGATTGTTAATGGAATATGATTCTGAGGTCTATGGAAACGTCTAAGACAGATTTTACTATATAATGGGAGTTAGTTGACACCTCGATACAACATTGAACTCAGATCTTATTGTCTCTCCCTTATAAGCCAATATTTATGAGATAACCTACCTTCAAGGTTGGACATCACTCTCCATAATGTCTTCCTCTCTATCCTTACTGCTTGCTGCGTTTCTAGCTGCTCCGTCAGTTTCGGCACTGTCTTTACCTCCACTAATCCCTACGATTCCTGGTGTCACCGAACCCCTGACGAGCAATGCTCCGCCTCTACCTATTTTGCAAATTCCAACGCCACCCTTAGAGAGCCCCCCCTTTGAGGCAAGCAACATCAAGCCTAAGAAGATAGGTTACTTCTGGACTGCATCTGGTGATAATCAGCATAAAGGTAAGTATCCTAACGATTACAAAAATATGTAAGCTTAGCTAATAATTTATAGACTTTCTGGCTACTTATAGTCTTGACGACGTGAGTGGGTATAGCTTCATGAGCTGCTTCGGTAGCTAACTATTAGTAGGACACATTTGGAACCCTCCTTTGGGTCACAGATGTCCCCTCAAGTGGAAACAGCCCACATCATCTTGGCCCTTCTCTCGATGGAAAAACTTTGATTGGTGGCGGGCTGCTATCCCTCCTGAAGACGCAAGACACTGCTTTCTATTTCGACACTACGGACCCATACCGTCCAACTTTCAAGAAGAGCAACCGTGGAATACTTTCATCCATCGTTGATGAAATTCGTGCGAAACCTGATGGGTAAGTCTATTATTATGATAAAGTATTGAATATCGGCTTACTAACTCTGACGGCAGAGGCTTTTTCATCACCTATATGGGCTGTAAGTTAATACGTTGATCCCGCCAAGTACTCAACTCCTGCTAAACTCTACTTAAGCTGCTCTTGGCACATCGCCGGGAAGACTAGTTGAAACTGATGCTGAGTTCAACATCATTCATGAGTGGCCTGAGAATGTGGACGGCCTGCTTAACATCCTCGGGGAGCAGTTTTCTCCACATGGTTTAACAATTGATTTCGAGAGGAACATAATTCTTACTTCCGACTTCATTGTACCCCTGAGCATCTTAAAACCGAGTTTGGGAATTCAACGAGCTAACACCCTACGGCTCTGGGATCTTCCATCACGCGAGATTATTAGCACCATTGAGATACCCGATGTATGTGATATCAACTTTGAATTTCCTGACTATTAATAGACCTCTTTCTAATGATTAATATAGGGCGGCGGTATTCAAGATGTCAAGTTCATTCCCGGAAATCCCGAAGGAGCTGCTCTCGCAACTGCAGTGCACTTAGGCCAGGTGTGGATTATCTATCCCTTCCGTAAGGACAGTAACGGCAAGCAAGGTGTAGCGAAGCTGCTATACGATCTGGGACCTAAGGCTCGAGATACCGTTGCTATCTAGTAAGTGACCCCTCATTATATCTATATACGGCTTCCAGCTCGGGTAACTAACTACTTTATAGCTCTGATATTACTGCGGATGGAAATTTCGCTTATTTCACATTGACAACAGCAGACCATATCGCTGCTCTTGACATCTCAGATTTGGACAACGTAAAGCGATTGGATGATCCGGATGAGGATCAACCTACAATTGGCCCCCACTACATTAAGGTCACGCCAGACCAGAGACACATCGTAGTAACGGACTACTTTGTACAGACGGGAGATATCGGCCTAATCAACACCCCAGCGGACTATAAGGCTCTGTATATCGACATCCTCGACGACGGGTCCTTAAGCTTCAATCGCAGCATAGAGTTCCAACGTGAATTTGCGAACCGTGGTGGTGCTAAACCGCACTCAGCTGTTGTCTTTGACTTTACTGATCCGGAGAATCCCGTTTACTACTAAGTTGAATCGATCAATAGAGTTACCTGGAAGGTTCGAGACATCAAATCACTACTTAGGTCGAAATGAGGTTGGAAAGATTGGTACGCTGTTCGGGGTTCCGTAGTTTTTATTGGATGAATATTTCTTAATAATGGTTGTTGTCCTACGCTTCACTTGACACGTCAACTGGGTGTGATACATGATATATGATATTTTGGTATTGGCCTCAAATGATATATGTATCTTATAATATGGGTGTAATTGGCGGTGGGGGACACAACTAACGGTCTTGATGAGTTTTTTAAGATAGTTTATTTACTGTTTGCTATAATGGTAGTTTTAATAATATAAGCTCTATATTGCACTTTGTTAATATTGGTAAAATGCCAAACGCCGCAAGCCAACAGCCACCCGACCAAACTGCAACTTCCCAAAGTCTGCCTTGTTTATTGAACCAACATGTTTCACCATTTCTTAGTTGAACCTTGACATATGAGGCCTCCCCTGTCGTCGGTGATAGCACCTTCTACATCAGAATACGTATTCTGTCACCTGTCACTAATACTTCAATGTTATTAGGATGGAAATGAGTTTTGACTATAATTTAATTCCGCTCCTAACCCCAGCTCCTGACAGGCTCAAGGCAGTGACGGCTACCGGCATAGGCAGTTCCCCGCATCATATGGTTTGTTAATTGGGCCTCACAAGCAAGTCCTATGCATTAATATGACCATTTTAAAGAATAGAAGGTAGGCAGGCTATGCTGTGCGACCGCATATATTTTTGAGGCCTTTGAGGCAGCCATATGAAGGCAGGCTGAGCAGGCAAGGTGTTTTTTGTTATGGTCAAAATAGCGGGGTTATATTATATTCATTCATCTCATAAATATTCCATTCATCTAGTTTACCTCAAGGTTTCTACCTAATTATTTCAATACCATCCATATCCAACAATGTCGTCCAGAGTTATCGCAAAGATTTCTCCTTTAGATCTTCAAGGTCTCGATGCTCCTCCTACTGCATCAATCACCGATGTCAAATACCTATCTTCCTATAATTGGATTGAATCACCCAAACCCACCATAGCTGTTCCTGGTAGCCCAGCACTTTGGACTGCCCCAAAGGTTCCTCAGAGGCTAAATAAGGACACCGGCCTTATTTATATTGCCCAAAATGCGGCTCGTCACCCCGACAGTCCTCTTGAACCCCTATTCCGTGCTATTTATATAACGGACCCATCCTTTGATATCCAATCGGTTGACGTCGTGACTGATCGAAACAATATCCGCAAACTTCTTACTTTTATCGATCCTACTGCTTCGAGAAACGGGCTCGAGGAGTTCACTATTAACATCGAGGTTAACAAGAATACTGCGATATTCAGCCGCGATGAAACCGCCACTCATGAGTTCATCGGCCCCAATGAGTTTAGGGGCTTCGGACACGAATTTGAAAAGGCCTGTACAACTAACAAGATCGTTGGTAGTACTGGACACCATAGAATCATCTCGTACCGCTTTGGTGGATTGAGCATCATCGTCCGCCATGAGACAGATGGATATGTGGATACCAAGACGGGCCCGTCGTCGTCTTCTACTAATAAAGCACAATCACCAGTTGACCTGACAAGCGTATTCGAATCACTCTCTCTGTCGCCGACGAACAACAATGCTGGGACTACTAGTAAGGGATCGAAGCTAGTTGTCCAACAAGATGGCCAAGCAGTCCCTCTCAACTCCACTCTTGAAATCAAAACTCGTGTATCCCACAAGCCCCTCGAGATTCGAGAGATCGCGCCACAACTCTGGGTGTCACAGACCCCTAGGCTGGTACGAGCTTATCATCAGCGTGGGGTGTTCCAGGTTCCAACGGTAGAAGATGTTACTGCTCAGATCAAGAGATGGGAACAGGATAACCAAAGACATTTGAGAAAATTGGCTGCATTGATCCGCAAAATCGTCCAAGTCGTAAAGGATTGCAACGAGAGTGTGACGCTGAGGTATGACGCAAGGGAGCGGAAATTGATTCTGTCGAAACTCTCGACCCCGAAGAAGATGCTCCCCCAGGACTTGTATTCAAAGTGGGATGTAAGTAGTGATACCAAGACGGGGGCTGACACAGACGCTACCAAAGGGAAAGCCTAGATTAAAGCGATTGTACGCTCCTAAGAAGGTCTTAGTTAGCGCTTTAAGATCAGCGAGTTAGTTAGAGCATAGTCTACCATACATAGACATGATTGCGTTAATTTCTTCCTGGTCCTATATCCTGGTCCATTACGGAATGCCATTTTATCAGTAATGTGAACATATGGAAATTCGATATCAAGATTAAAATGTTTATTAATCTATATGAAAGAACCGTATTTCTAGATACGGTCCCTTGCCCAGGGATGTTGGCGATCATATCCATCGCATAAAGCTAAGTCGCGCTCGAAATCGCCATATTCCTCGTGCGTTTCGAAATGTGTAGTCCGTATTATCTTTCCGCGCTCGGGAGGTTGTATTACTACATGGTCCTTGAGGTGCTCTATAGAATCGGAACGCATATTGCCCTGAGAGCCTATCGTTGTCAGAACCACGCCGCGGTTGAAATTATTTATCCTGCGATAGTATGCGTGTGATGAACTCGCTTGTGGGTTATTTATCATATCCGAGCCAGGCCATGACGGTATACCGGCTCTGGAGCCTGAGCGTCGAGTTAGTCGATCTCCAAGCGACCGTGGTGATGAAGCAAACCGGTCAAGAAACCGGATTTCTGACAGGATCTTAGCCGCACTTGGAGTGCTGTAAATGAGGAACATGCAAGTCATCTCGGCCAGAGCCCAGAGCATCACAGGCGCCGTGTGATAAATTATATCATCTGACCTAGAATAGTTGAGTATCGCTCGAAGGCGTAACCCTGCTGAAGCACAGCAGCTATAGTATTTCCTAATGTTAGCGTTCTATCGGTTACCAAGTTCAGACGTGTTGAAAGAAAAGATAGTTGGAAAGGTAAGCCTAGCTTAGCATTGAAAAGTATAGAGTAAAGAAACAGATGAAAATATAGAAGTATAGAAGATATAACTATTCGCACATACAAAACACCCATAGCAGAGATAACAAAGACGCCGACTCTTCTTTTCGTTGACATGTCTAAGCGCCAGATGATGTGCTGCGGCAGAAGCAGAATTGATATATCCGAGCAAAGGTTCAGCACAGCTGATATAATGTTGAGGACCTTCCTGTTGACCGGACAGGAGCCACCGACGAATAGGGGGTTCCAATTTTTCTCAATAGGAACGCAGGCGAAGTTCATGAGGAAGAGAGTTACGATGTAGAATACGACATTCGCGCCCAGCACGCTATAGCAGAACCAGAAGAAGTTATTCCGCACGCCGTACGGAATGAGTAAACGGATCCAATCCAGAAGTATCGCCGCTTTTATTGTCAGGACAGCTCCGATATAGAAACTACCACTGAGGAATAGGGGGAAGAGGATATCCGACATGTCCTTTAGTAGAACATCCCATTGATGAACAAAGGCGCCAGGGTTCTCTACCAGCCGGTAATTTAGGTATGCGCCTACGATATAGCAGCCAAGAGATATTAACATTAATACTAGAACTGGATGTTAGAATCAATAAAAGAATATAATTAGTAAGGAACCTACCATCAGGAAACCCAGTTTTCTTAACGTAGAACAGCCTATGACATATCCGGAGAAGGACAGCTATAGCCGTGAGAGCCAAACATGTTGGTATTACGGCTTGGGCAATGTAATTCTTGTTTGGCGGATTGTCAAAATTTGATGCGATATCATTCGGCGGATTGAGGGCGGGCACGTCAAGGGACGTATCCAACTTGGCCGAGGTTATCAATGAGAGGACCGCCATTAAATTCAGATTTTCCCACCGGACAACCCCTCCCACATCGCTCGAGTCGTCCCAAGGCCAGAGCGAGATGAAAACGGGAGATTGCTGTCGGAGCAGCAAATAATGGTTATAAAGAAACGAGTCCTCCCAAGCCGACACATGGCCGCGAACGAGTGGGTAAGAACTCTATCTATACATTAGGTTCAATCAATTTTCATCTACTCGGAGTGGCAGCCCCTCAGACAGGATGCGTGGCCGACGGGCTGACATGCATGAGAATCAACGTGGTAAGTGGGTAAAGAAGTTGTCGAAACGGAGCTGCTCGACTCAGCACTATAGGCCAGCTGAGAAATGGTAGGGTGACATCATGTAGCACCCCGTAAGCAGGCTATGTCTTTTTATAAAAGCCTACTCGCCCTGCGTGTTTACTGGACTGCCAAGATCTGAGCTGATAGGTGTATAAGATGGGTCAGCATCACCAAGTCACCCATATTGGCTAAGCCTATTCTAATCCCCCCCCAGGCACAGAATTAACTTCGGTGGGGGGGAGTTATAATAATAATATCGGTAAGGTTATCTCAGCTAGCTCAGACTAGAATGGTCCGTGTTGATGTATCCCTCCCGCCACAGCAGTTTTTAACCAATCAGAACACTTGAAACCCTAAAATATACAACACGGAATTCTAATCTAAGGCATCCTGGTCTTTTTTTCTTTTTCACCATATTTTTTTATATTAAAAATATAAAATTATCATTCAACAGTAAATAATTACATATATATATATAGATTTTATTCGCTAACCTTACTAATATTGCTATAACAAATCGATTAGATTTAATCAATCCTGGACTGCAGTTTAAGTATACTGTTAACACAAGAACGATTTAATACCGTGCTAGCTATGGCATATACGTACTAGCTATAACATGTACGAAGTTATATTTACGAGTTATATTCACGTTTAAAGTCTTCGGGGGTAAAGTTATCTAATAGTTTGTTACTGCCCAAGTTTGAGGCAGATTTATTTATTAGTTATTATTTTATAGCTTAAGAGCAAATTATTATTATATACTAGGTAAGTATGTATACCTTAACTTTCGGAACGTCGAAGCTTAAAAAAGATTCAATTATTAGTTTATCGGGAATTAAAGTTGTTATAGAAATTAAATATATATATTACTAACCCCAAGGTATAAAAGAAAAATACTATTATATATAATTATTAAATAATTTAATATTATGATTATAATGTATTGTATTGTTACTAGTAAAAATATATAATCTAACCCCAAAAATAACCAGAATACCTTAGATTAGATTTAGTTAAACGCCATGCTGTACCCCACAGATACATTGGCACGGGCCACATTGGTGTGGCGTAAGTGGCGCATTTAACTAAATCTAGTCTGAGCTAGCTGAGATAACGGTAAGGTCAGGTATAATTGTCTTAGTCGTCCCTAGTATGTACCTAGTCGATGAGGCATGGTCTGTGCTAGTGACGGAGAAGACTAACCTAGAGCAAATCTTGAAGGATCTCGACTAAAGTCCTGCACAGTTAAAGTCGATTAGGTACCCAGGAGAGGTTAGCTAGGGTATATGGCATGCATAGAAGGTCGTATCGAAACAACCAACTGCCACGTTCCGTGTAACAATCATTGCCTTAAAAGGAGCAGCCATCTCATAGACTGGTACATAGACTGGTACTATGTAGATTGGGTGCGTGTATGCGAGCCAATTATTTAACTCTCGCATCACATAACTTATGTGAGAACTGCGAGGCACCGAACCACGCAACGCCTTACATTATCAATCACGTCCTAAATCACTCCCACATGGCTTTTCGTCTTATGTCAGTCCGTACGCTAACCCACGTGTCTTTGAACTTCTTACCTTTTTTTTCCCGAGAGAGAGAGCGGCTCAGTAACGTGTTGTATTGACGTATGTTCGGGCAGCTTTCTTTTTGATGCCTCATAGCGATATATTTCCGGAAAAAAAAAAAAAGAAAAACATAACAGCTAACCTATAATTCTCATACATCGTTTAGTTTTCTATGCCCGAAGGCGGGGGTATATTGACTGACGTGAGCTCGACTAGCGCACGTAGGCTTCACGACATCCTTCCATTGAGTCCAATCTAGAAGTATTTCTTGACAGGCTCTTGAATCCTGATACAAGGTGAACTAGCGGCTAATATCAAAACCCACCACCTCCACTGACTCTTCCATTAATAATATTACGTACTTGTAATGGTCTAGTTAAACGTTAAACAATGTTTTGAGATCCTTTGCGGGGCCGAAAGTTAGCGTATGTGCTCCCAAACCGTGGGGCTGGTATGGCAAGGGTCTCGCTGTGATTTTAACCCAGGAAGGACTAGTCACGATATCTTCATAGTCAATCGCAAACAACGTAGTAAGCTCTAAGGCATCTCTTTGAAATCTTGACGGGAAATATGAAATAGGTTTATATAAAATTATTGTGCGCGCTCGAGGATACCTTGTCTCTAATATGTGCTTCTGTTGAAGCGACAAATTAGTCCAAGTACCTCCTCGATCTTGAATCTTTCCCCCAACTATGGAGCCTCGGAGGCGATTTTGAAATGTTTCTAATAATAGCTGATTTGAGCTAGGCAATTGAAACCTCCCCCCCCGGTGAGTAGCGCGTTGACGTCCACTACAACCTTAAGAGGTACCTAGGTACGCATGATTCCCGCCAGCTCTTAGATACAGCTCTGACTGCCAGCAAACTTAAAAAGCAGCTAATCTGAGGCTAGTGCCTTAGGTATTAGCTACCAGAAAGTAGAAGTTAGAGATAACTCGCTGATGATAAAGAAAAGTTACTTTTCTAGGGATTGAAGTCAAGTGGAAAAAAGTACCTCACCTAAGGTATGGTACCTATGTGCTTAGACGCTATCAAGACATCCAATGATTAGTATAGAAAAGAGAACGAGGGAGCTAAACTAAAGATCTATTGGTAGCATGGCATTTTCGGGATATTATGTATAACCGTGTAGCCGACAAGTCTAGTCATCCAGGGTGGTACATAAGTGAAGTAAAAATTAAGCAAACTTCAAAGGATTATACGATGGACGTCTTCATCTGATATACTAAAATTGTAAATGGGTAGTCTAGAGTAATTCATGAGAGATTGTATATATTCTTGCATGGTTATAAGTTTAAAATGCATCTGCATTTTAGACTAGTTGACTGTTCCTTTAGTAGAGAATACGTTGACTTCTCGCGGCGATACGATATCCTCAATATCCCACCAGCGAGAAATGAGTTAGAAAATCCCCTTAATGCTGTATATACATGCTAGATATCAGAGAGCTACTTACCAAACTCCTCGTCAATTGTTAGGAGTAGGCGTTTGCAATACCATTGTTTTCAAAATCTACCAACTAAAGCTGGAATATGTTCACCGCTAGATTCCTCCATATAGGTCCGCCATGAGGATGAGATATTAAACCGGATTTGTCGTAAGCTGACGTGGAAGCGCTATGCAGCTGAAATCCGCCTGGACTATTAAGTTGAAGCTAGTCAACGCTGCCCCAGCTTTTCCAGAAGACTAGCAAATCTGAAACCAGATAACTTACAGGTTTCAATTGGCCAAGTGAGCTAAGTGTCGCGTATCGTGTGACGATGTGGCGGTTACTAGTCTTTACCTACTTTGTTTGGAGCAGCGCTTTTAAATCTGGCTTTAATGCGATCCGAAGTTGCAAGTGGTATCAAAACGTGACTAAACCTTTCAAAACTATGAGGGCCAATTATGATGGAGCATCTATTGATAGACGGACTTAATTTATTTTTGAGCCCTTCGTTCCTTTTATATTTCACTAAATCCCTTTATGTAAGCTGCCTCTATTATGGTTATTTGGTAATCTAAGGAACTACCTACCAACTATTTCACTGACTAATTGAGTTTCTTCGTCAGTGAACGCAAAAGCTGGGCTTATATAAATGTTCTTGTTAAAGTACCGAGTACTATCCCTGATAATAGTTTCTCCATCACTCATTTTAGTAGATGTTAAGAATAGGAGATGCTCGCTAGTTTCAATAAACGAGACGAAATTTAAGATTCATAATAGTTTGTGCCTACAATTATCCTAGATTTTCTTTTTGACTAAAAGAAAAACAGTTGTACTATGCATTGTACTTCGATCCGGCATCTAGATCAGTACTAGAACGACTCGGAACCAACTATTGAATCGGTACAGTAATATTGATCTAAAGCCACACTACTATAATCAACATTTAGATATCTTGTAGCTTTGGTAACTGCGTAGCCTAATTAGAGGACTTCAGCTTAATGCCGGGAACTAGAAAGTACCTGTCTCGAAGTTACACAGTAATTACCTCTCTTTATGATATTCAACTTCGCCTAATACATATTCTGGGATTTTCTATTTCCAAAATTCTATAAATAAGGCTTTGGAGAGTAGAAATGAGGAAAGTATGTTCATATAGTGATTCCTTCGCTAGTAGTATACCAGAACCCCTATATATCACAAGATTCGTCGATTGAGTATTCATCTCGGAGTTAAGAAACGCGCGAAATTTTTATTTCCCACGTTGGGTCAGTTCATTGGTATCAGACTTCCGCTTTCTTGCAGTTTACCATTATAACGCCTTTGGAAACTTTCCTATTCGACAACCCCTCACAGTTTCGGTAAGAGTCACAACATACCTACGGATAGTTTCTAAAGAGGGCAATGATTCTAACTTTGTGGCTTCATCTCGGCAGCTTCTTATCAAACTGGCCCATGCGCCTCGGAGTTAGCAAGGGCTTTTGGATGGTTAATGACATCTGAAAGCGGATTGACATTCGATCCAGCTAGGATCGGCATCTATAACTGCCGAATTAAGGAATAATAATTCCAACGTTCGAATCTCCATCTAACCAACAGCTTCTCTCAAAAAGAACTTGAGCTAATCAAGAAGAACATGACCACGCGGAAGAACCGCGTTTCACGAGACGTGAGCTGCAAAGGATATAGGTGATAGCTATGTCTTCCAGTTACCGTA